TACTTGATAAAAATTTTAGTTACATTTTTCCAAAATCAGCATTTCAGCAATGTCTAAAAACGAGTTTAAGAGGACGTTTGATTTTTTTAAAACCTGTCCATAATTGAGTTCATCAGATTTAACCTGTATTGCAGGTGAGAATTTCGAAAATAAGTTCAGCCCTAGGAAACATTGCTAAATTTAGATACCAAAAAATGGTGGTAGGCATTAACAGACTTGAGAACATTAATTATTAATTATTGTGGGATATTTCAACTAAAAAAAATAATATTTTTTTAATAATAAACCAAAGAATTTTTTTGTTTATGAGTGTTATCTGTATTGCTTGTTTGATCACCTGGAAAATAAAAATATTTTTTGATAAATTGCACCATTTCGTTAACTTTTTGTGCATTTTTGTGGATGGTATGCTCGGATGGTATTTGGATGGTTTTTGTGGATGGTATGGTCCGATGGTATTTGGATGATTTTTGTGGATGGTATGCTCAGATGGTATTTGGATGGTTTTTGTGGATGGTATGCTCGGATGGTATTTGGATGTTTTTTGTGGATGGTATGTTTATGGTATTTGGATGTTTTTGTGGGTGGTATGTTTATGGTATTTAGATGTTTTTGTCGATTGTATTTGTATGCTCGGATGGTATTTGGATGTTTTTGTGGATGGTAGGTTTATGATATTTGGATGGTTTTTGTGGATTGTATGCTCGAATGGTATTTGGATGTTTTTGTGGATGGTATGTTTATGATATTTGGATGGTTTTTGTGGATTGTATGCTCGGATGGTATTTGGATGTTTTTGTGGATGGTATATATGATATTTGGATGTTTTTGTGGATGGTATGCTCGGATGGTATTTGGGTGGTTTTTGTGGATGGTATGTTTATGATATTTGAATGTTTTTGTGGATGGTATGCTCGGATGGTATTTGGGTGGTTTTTGTGGATGGTATGCTCGGATGGTTTTTGTGGATGGAGTTGTTGTTTTTTTTTTTGGATAGTATCCGTACCGGAAGCCGTCGGCATCCACAAACACCAAGTAGCTTAGACTCGGTGGGCAGTTGGTTTTTTCCTCGCGCAACTGATCCACCAATGGTTCTAATGCTTGACTGATCCCTTTGTTCAACATTCGATTGAATAAAGAAACAACAATTTTTAAAGAACTTCATTGTTCTAAATACTTTATTTGTAGAGAAACATGGTGTAACAGGTTTTGATCTGAAAATACAATGTGGTGCTCATATGTAAAATGTAATGAATACATTCTAAACTTACAACAAAATGTTTTGTTTCCTAGTTCAATGCCAGAACTGCCACAAATAATATTAGCTGATTACGTTATGCACAGGAAGTATACTTTTAAAAATGAGTATGCATCTTAACAATGGGTATACATCTTAACAATAGGTATACATCTTAACAATGGGTATATATCTTAACAATGGGTATAATCTTAAAAATGAGCATACATCTTAACAATGGGTATACATATTAACAATGGGTATACATCTTAACAATCGGTATACATCTTAACAATGGGTATGCATCTTAACAATAGGCATAAATCTTAACAATGGGTATACATCTTAACAACTGGTATACATCTTAACAGTAGGTATACATCTTAACAATAGGTATACATCTTAAAGAGAATACATCTTAACAATGGGTATACATCTTAACAATGAGTATACATATTAACAATTGTTATACATCTTAACAATGAGTATACATCTTAACAATGGGTATACATCTTAACAATGGGTATACATATTAACAATGGGTATACATCTTAACAATGAGTATACATCTTAACAATGGGTATACATCTTAACAATGGGTATACATATTAACAATGGGTATACATCTTAACAATGAGTATACATCTTAACAATGGGTATACATCTTAACAATGGGTATACATATTAACAATGGGTATACATCTTAACAATGAGTATACATTTTAACAATGTGTATACATCTTAAAAACTAGTATACTTTGTAACAGTTTTCTAAAAACTATATTTCAACAACGACATGTCATGGAAAACCATCCACCATGTTTCACCATGTCTACGTCAACTGAGTTTTACCAAAATAACGTCCATAATTTCAAACCAAATTTCTCATGTTAAAGAGATACGTCCAAGCATTGAGGTTGTATAAATGCCTTTGAAAACTAGGGGTTATTAAATACTAGGGATCATTGAATACTAGGGGTCATTGAAAACTAAGGGTCATTGAATACTAGGGGGCATTGAAAACTAGGGGTCATTGAAAACTAGGGGTCATTGAAACTAGGGGTCATTGAATATTAGGGGTCATTGAAAACTAGGGGTCATTGAATACTAGGGGGTCATTGAATACTAGGGGGTCATTGAAAATTAAGGGGTCATTGAAAACTTGGGGTCATTCGAAAGTAGGGGTCATTGAAACTAGGGGTCATTGAAAACTAGGGGTCATTCGAAAGTAGGGGTCATTGAAAACTAGGGGTCATTCGAAAGTAGGGGTCATTGGAAAGTAGGGGTCATTGAAAACTAGGGGTCATTGAAAACTAGGGGTCATTGAAAACTAGGGGTCATTGAAAACTAGGGGTCATTGAAAACTAGGGGTCATTGAAAACTTCGGGGTCATACGAAAGTAGGGGTCATTGGAAAGTAGGGGGCATTGAAAACTAGGGGTCATTGAAAACTAGGGAGGGGGTATTGAAAACTAGGGGTCATTGGAAACTAGGGGTCATTGAAAACTAGGGGTCATTGAAAACTAGGGGTCATTGAAAACTTCGGGGTCATTCGAAAGTAGGGGTCATTGGAAAGTAGGGGTCATTGAAAACTAGGGGTCATTGAAAACTAGGGGTCATTGAAAACTAGGGGTCATTGAAAACTTGGGGGTCATTGAAAACTTGGGGGTCATTGAAAACTTGGGGGTCATTCGAAAGTAGGGGTCATTGAAAGTAGGGTCATTGAAACTAGGGGTCATTGAAACTAGGGGTCATTGAAACTGGGGTCATTGAAACTTGGGGTCATTCAAAATTGTAAAATCATCCCAAATCCGTGAGTGACGTCACCAGGTTCGCACGATACACATTTGTATACCCCCTCTCCCCCCCCCCTTGACCGCATGTGGCTTGCCCCCTAATCCCCCCCCCCCTCCTCTCGGTGTTGTGGAAGGCCGCAGGCGCAACGTAGAGTTACAGTGTGAAATGCCAGGAAGTAAAATAAAGAGCAAAGAGTCACTAGATTTAAATTATGAAGATCAAAGAGTCACTAATATTTAAATTATGAAGAGCAAAGAGTTACTAGATTTAAATTATAAAGATAATAATAATACTAAATCTGTATCATGTGGGTCCACATATTGTTTGCGTGCGCTCTGCGGGGCAAGAGGTGGGGGGGGGGGTTGATTTTGTGTACTAAGTTTACTTCCGGTAACATCCATGCATCAGGTCTTGGAGAGCTCGCATCTACAAATAATGGCTCGCCAAACATTGACGACAGCAATGCGTGAACTTCCCATCTACTAAAGTTACTTGACAAAACATGAACTCAATATTACTATATATATTAATAATTGACTGAGATGGCTTAATAGTACATTATAATCACACAGAAACGTCTAAAATTAACATGAACCGTTCTAACACAACGTTAAATGTAAGTTCATTAACTCGTGAATTTGATTACATAAAAATATAGATTTGCCACAACAAACAAAGCAAATGTTGCTCAAATGGAATGTCCGTGTAAAGACAGTTAAAATAATGAAAACAATTGTTTCATCAAAATTATTCCAACCATAGGCTAAAAATTTATTCATATTTTGATCCTTTAAAAATTATAGTACTAGTTAAATCTACCTTTAAATACTTTTTAATCTAATCGTTTATTACCTACTAAAAATATAATGGAGGAGGACGGTTCACATGTCATCTGTGGCGCCCCAACGGTCCAAGGACTAAGGGACATGAGGATGAGGAGGATAAGGAAAAAATATAACACACGGGCTTGGGGAAAACGCACAGATGGACAACACGAAACTAGGGACATTTCTTGAATACTAGTTGATTCTACCCTTTAATGCTATTTGAATCTACCCTTTAATGCTATTTGAATCTACTCTTTATGCTATTTGAATCTACCCTTTAATGCTATTTGATTCTACCCTTTAATCCTATTTGAATCTACTCTTTATGCTATTTGAATCTACTCTTTATGCTATTTGAATCTACCCTTTAATGCTATTTGATTCTACCCTTTAATGCTATTTGATTCTACTCTTTATGCTATTTGATTCTACCCTTTATGCTATTTGAATCTACTCTTTATGCTATTTGAATCTACCCTTTAATGCTATTTGATTCTACTCTTTATGCTATTTGAATCTACCCTTTAATGCTATTTGAATCTACTCTTTATGCTATTTGAATCTACCCTTTAATGCTATTTGATTCTACCCTTTATGCTATTTGAATCTACTCTTTATGCTATTTGAATCTACCCTTTAATGCTATTTGATTCTCTTCTTTATGCTATTTGATTCTACTCTTTATGCTATTTGAATCTACTCTTTAATTATTTTTTAAACCTCCTCTTTTTTTTGAAACCTCCTCTTCAATACTTCTACTCTTATAAACTAGTTTCGACTAGAATTTATCCTAGAATCCGATATAAAAACAATCATTGATTGTAATCGTTTACCCGAGAACGTCTGATTTTGAGAGTAAATAACTTTTTATTAACCCTTGATTCCCCGCGTAAAAGGCGGCTTGACTTCAAATGTAACTCTACACGAGTCAGCAAGAGATTGAAAGACTTGGGTGGTAGATAAATACATTATGGGCTCAACATGTCAGGGAAGACAACAACATTGTTAGTTTTATGCATCGGCGGATCTTCACAAGAAATGACAGGAGGGTCAGTTTTGTGAACAAATGCATTTGGAAGTGAACCTACCCCCCACCCCTTTAAATTCGTAACAACCCCCCCCCCCACACACACACACACTCCCTTTTTTTCTTCTTAAAGTTTCCTACATAAACACGACCTTGATAGATATATTTTATTTACAGCAACGTATATATTTGACTTACGAATTGTTGCACACCAAATCACAGAACTTTAGTAGTATATTGCTGCACACCAAATCACAGTGCTTTAGCAGTATATTATTTTTTACAGCTTTTACCCTTTGAATTGGATTTATCTCCAAGTGAGGGCGAATAATAACGAAAATTACAAGAATTTGGACACAAAAATATATTATAAACAATTTGTTTCTCCGTAAAATATATAAAACTATATATCGAAAACCATCTTTTTAATCTTTGCTTTTTTTAAACATATTTTGGACAATATAATCAAATAATTTTCATTTTGATGAAACATGTCCGTATTTCTCTAACAGTCACGCCCTTCGTAATCAATTGCGCCCTTCAAAATAAAGTGCCCATTTGTCCCAACATTGTGGAGCCGCCTACGCTAGGAGGCAGTTGCAAAATGTTTCAGCAAAACGCCAGGGGAGATAAGTCGGATGGTTGTGTCCAGTGGTATGAAACCGGAAGTGGTTAAAGTGGCTTAGCGATGGAAGGTGCATCATTAGCCAGAGATGTGTGCACAGCATCAATGAAACCAGGAAGTCCGCCGAGGTTGGTGAGAAAAGCCAGTGTCCCCTCGCTACAGAGATAGAGATGGAGAGAGAGAAAAAGTGTGACAAATCAATAGTAAACAAATATCTATTATACATAAATTATTACTTTTTAAAATGTCTCACATACCGATTGTTAGGTCTCTAGTCAGACCCATTATGTGGGAATCGGGAGACACTAAGGGTACGCAGTCGGTAAAGACCACTGGAACCCGTATAGGTTTCCCAACAAACTCCCTTCCTCAAAAGCTATATACAGGGTCGCCTGACCTTTAGGGTCTAATGATACCAGGCGGGCCGCTTCGTAGCTGTACTCAGCGGGAAGTGGACCACAATGACTTGTGGGCCATAAAGACCTGTGTCAGAATGTCATTTCAGTGGCCGCGGAAACTAAAGCAAGTGGCTCATAACGGAGTATCCACCATCCAGTTGGCTTTGTGTGGATAACAAATGGGGTAAAATGTAGGAAATAAACTTGGATAGTGTATAATAGGATTGTCAGTCCGAGAGATGGGGATTTGTGTACTCTAATCATAGTGAACAAATAACATCCTTAAGCTGTCAGATATGGGCGAACTATGGAAGGCCGACATGAACTCGCTCAAACAACCAAACAATGGTCGCCTTGCTGTTCGGGTCTGTAACTATCTTACCTTATTAACAGCGAAGAAACCCTGGCAGGGGCGTGTCCGAGGAGCGTCAAGAGCAGCCTCATGCTCTGTGCCTGCACAGGCGCCACTGAAGATTTCAAGCAGTACTTGACAACGTCTGGTACGGCAAAAGTCTGACGGGAAAACATAGACTGCATTCTATCTACTTGTCATTCAGATAAAACGACAGTGGTTCTCACATAATGGTTGAAGTTTCTCTTCTAAACTAAAATTGTATAGCTCGTGTTTGCCTCTGATAACTATTGCCGTGATGGGGGGCAAAGTGATCCCTTGCCCCAAATCAGCCACTGGTCAGATGATTAAGGTGGTCAAACTTTCAAGTTAAAATGTATGCAACAATTAGTACTTTGTACTTGGTATAGATATTGACAGACTCAACATTGAGTACTTTGTACTCATTATAAAAATTGACTGACTCTTCCATACATGGATTTAAAAATTGACTGACTCCACCATAGATGGCCTGGTGAATCTGAGCAACAAATTGTGGATAGGAAATATCATAAATAATTTTTCAATATTACTTTTCTAATCACTTATTTAGGTTTTTTCCTTACAATTTTTTTTACAATTTTTTTTTTATTTTAGAGACTATTTTAACTTTTGAAATACTATTACCCCACCCCAGTAAATTTTTTAAAGCTAATATAATTTTTATAAAGTTAGGAAATCATGTATACCTGGACCCCGAGCTTATTCAAAACTTTCCCCAAAATGTGTCAACGAGTTCCTGGAGCCCGATTCATTTAAAATTGATCTGGCCGATTAATGTCTAGTTCCGCCCCTGTGCTTATGTATACATGTATGCACGCGTATTTGTGTGTGTGTATTCGTGTGTGTGTATTCGTGTGTGTGTGTGTGTGTGTTTGTGAAATGACTGAAGGTCTCACAAAATGACTGACAGACTCATCAAATAGCTGTCAGACTCACCGAACGACTGACAGACTCACCAAATGACTGACAAACTCACCAAATGACTTACAGACTCACTGAATGACTGACAGGCTCAACAAATGACTGACAGACTCACCAAATGATTATCAGGCTCACCAAATGACTGACAGGCTCACCAAATGACTGACAGACTTACTAAATGACTGACAGGCTCACCAAATGACTGACAGACTCACCAAATGACTGACCGACTCACCAAATGACTGACATTGGGTTTGTGTACAGCAAAGTTGGCCAACGCCCGTGTCAAGTGACACAGTAACTCCAGCTTACTCTCAGCAGACGACAACTTCCGGTAACAGCCGTGCATCAGGTCTTGGAGAGCTCCCTGAAATACGTCATAAACAGTTTCAACTTTGTATTAACTTTCTAGAATAGATCAATACATCTATCATCAATAGAGTCTCAATTGTTTATCAACTATATCATTTCCTGTAAAAAACGTTGGATGTCCTTTGATCCAAAGAGATCTACCTGAATGTCCTTTGATTCAAAGAGATCTATCTGAATGTCCTTTGATTCAATAATATCTGAATGTCCTTTGATTCAAAGAGATCTATCTGAATGTCCTTTGATTCAATAATATCTGAATGTCCTTTGATTCAAAGAGATCTATCTGAATGTCCTTTGATTCAAAGAGATCTAGCTGAATGTCCTTTGATTCAAATATATCTATCTGAATGTCCTTTGATTCAATAATATCTGAATGTCCTTTGATTCAAATAGATCTATCTTAATGTCCTTTGATTCAATAATATCTGAATGTCCTTTGATTCAAATAGATCTTTCTGAATGTCCTTTGATTCAATAATATCTGAATGTCCTTTGATTCAAATAGATCTATCTGAATGCCTTTTTATTCAAATAGATCTATCTGAATGTCCTTTGATTCAATAATATCTGAATGTCCTTTGATTCAAATAGATCTAGCTGAATGCCTTTTTATTCAAAGAGATCTATCTGAATGTCCTTTGATTCAAAGAGATCTATCTGAATGTCCTTTGATTCAAAGAGATCTATCTGAATGTCCTTTGATTCAAATAGATCTAGCTGAATGCCTTTTTATTCAAATAGATCTATATGAATGTCCTTTGATTCAATAATATCTGAATGTCCTTTGATTCAAATAGATCTAGCTGAATGCCTTTTTATTCAAATAGATCTATCTGAATGTCCTTTGATTCAATAATATCTGAATGTCCTTTGATTCAAATAGATCTAGCTGAATGCCTTTTTATTCAAAGAGATCTATCTGAATGTCCTTTGATTCAAAGAGATCTATCTGAATGTCCTTTGATTCAAAGAGATCTATCTGAATGTCCTATGATTCAAATAGATCTATCTGAATGTCCTTTGATTCAAAGAGATCTATCTGAATGTCCTTTGATTCAAAGAGATCTATCTGAATGTCCTTTGATTCAAATAGATCTAGCTGAATGCCTTTTTATTCAAAGAGATCTATCTGAATGTCCTTTGATTTAAAGAGATCTATCTGAATGTCCTTTGATTCAAATAGATCTAGCTGAATGTCCTTTGATTCAAAGAGATCTATCTGAATGTCCTTTGATTCAAAGAGATCTAGCTGAATGTCCTTTGATTCAAATAGATCTATCTGAATGTCCTTTGATTCAAAGAGATCTAGCTGAATGTCCTTTGATTCAAATAGATCTATCTGAATGTCCTTTGATTCAAAGAGATCTAGCTGAATGTCCTTTGATTCAAAGAGATCTAGCTGAATGTCCTTTGATTCAAAGAGATCTAGCTGAATGTCCTTTGATTCAAAGATATCTATCTGAATGTCCTTTGATTCAAAGAGATCTAGCTGAATGTCCTTTGATTCAAAGAGATCTATCTGAATGTCCTTTGATTCAAAGAGATCTATCTGAATGTCCTTTGATTCAAAGAGATCTAGCTGAATGTCCTTTGATTCAAAGAGATCTATCTGAATGTCCTTTGATTCAAAGAGATCTATCTGAATGTCCTTTGATTCAAAGAGATCTATCTGAATGTCCTTTGATTCAAAGAGATCTATCTGAATGTCCTTTGATTCAAAGAGATCTATCTGAATGTCCTTTGATTCAAATAGATCTAGCTGAATGCCTTTTTATTCAAATAGATCTATCTGAATGTCCTTTGATTCAATAATATCTGAATGTCCTTTGATTCAAAGAGATCTAGCTGAATGTCCTTTGATTCAAATAGATCTATCTGAATGTCCTTTGATTCAAAGAGATCAAGCTGAATGTCCTTTGATTCAAAGAGATCTAGCTGAATGTCCTTTGATTCAAATAGATCTATCTGAATGTCCTTTGATTCAAAGAGATCAAGCTGAATGTCCTTTGATTCAAAGAGATCTAGCTGAATGTCCTTTGATTCAAAGAGATCTAGCTGAATGTCCTTTGATTCAAAGATATCTATCTGAATGTCATTTGATTCAAAGAGATCTAGCTGAATGTCCTTTGATTCAAAGAGATCTATCTGAATGTCCTTTGATTCAAAGAGATCTATCTGAATGTCCTTTGATTCAAAGAGATCTAGCTGAATGTCCTTTGATTCAAAGAGATCTAGCTGAATGTCCTTTGATTCAAAGAGATCTAGCTGAATGTCCTTTTATTCAAAAAGATCTTTCTGTGTATCCAAAAATATCTCAAGGCTTAAACCCTAATTTATTTATTTTATTTTTTTTGTATTAATTTTGACATAAACATGAGATAATATTTCGTAGGACAAATGAATTTAGCGCTCAACTTAGCCAGTCATTTTGAAATATTCCGATTTTTTCGCCATTTACCACAGGGTGTTGGAATAATTATTTGACAAAATTTATGGAAATCTAAATTCGGAGCTGAAATCAGGGAACAATATAAAAAATTGGAGTACCGATTAAACTTCATTTGAATCAAATATTATTTTTATTTTGTAAATGTTGAGGCGAGGTTTAATGGTATATTATAATCTGTTCACAAAATGTTCACATACAATACACATTTTCATACAAATATATACGGTCACTTTGATGAATTAAAATTACTATATTTGATTAAATAAAAAGATAGTTTGCGAAACTTTTTGTCAATGTATCACTCAAAGGTTATGAACCTGGTCTTCCATGTTTGTTGCCAGATTTCCCACCAAGCAGGCGACATTACACAGTATCTGCGGGTTGGTTGGATTACTCTCTAACACTTTATGCAAGCATCGTCCTGAGTTGACGTCATCCTACAAGAGTTTTAAAATTTAAAATTAAAAAAAAAGGCTTTGGAACTTAACAGAAAATGAAAGAGTTCTTTCTCTAAGGGGCTGCTGTCAGTGTATTGGTAGTATTTTTTCAGATTGGCTTCAGCACATTAAGACAGGCCTGTACCAGTTTAATGAGATTCCTGTATTTATTTGATGTCAGCTCACGTTAGATATATTACATATACAGGTCCAAGACGTCCATACGTGATAAGAGCTGATATTTAAAGACAACAAAGTCTGTTCTATCAAGCTGGAAAAGATACAAATAAATAATTTCAGATTTGAACGTTACTAAAAACTGTTTGTTGAAGATATTCTTTTTTGAAACAGTATTTCAATCCCAAAGAAATGTGTGTAATGACAAGAGACATTTGAAATATTTAAGACATTCTGATGGAATTACTCAAATACATAGAGTAGCTTATACATGTGATCTTTAAGTTGAATTTTTGTATATTCTCTGAGACATTAACAAATAATCGCTACTCACAAAATCGGAAAAAATAATGTATGTAAAATACCTTTTAAAAACAATTCATATAACTGTACATACCTGTACAAGGGTATCATACATGTACACCCCACATAAGTGAGCACTTCACATAGCTGACCACCTCGCTACCTCACCACCTCCTGTACATGTACAAGTGAATCGTGTCTGAACAAGTGCTTACACGTGTCCAGGGACACCATACTTGTACAAGTGCGCCATACTTGTACAAGTGCACTGTAAATGTACAAGTGCACCATAGTTGTACAAGTGCACTGTAAATGTACAAGTGCGCCATAGTTGTACAAGTGCACTGTAAATGTACAAGTGCGCCATACTTGTACAAGTGTATCCTCCCTGTACACGTCCAGAAATATAATGAAACGGTTTGTAAAGAGAGCTACCTGTACAAGCCTGTGTTTGTGTTGCGGTGTCCCCGTGGACAAAATGGCCAGGACTTTGAGGGCGACCTCCTGCGTCTGTTGGGCAACGATAAAGTTTGCTTTGAATGGATATTTCATACGTACTTTGATAACATAAGGGAAATGTCATACATACATTGATAACATAATGGATATGTCATACATACTTTGGTATGTATTTTATAACATTCAAAATTATAATTGGATTATTTTCTGACTAGCGAGTGAGAACGTCATGCCATTGACAATCACCACAGGGCACACCTCACCACCTCCTGTAGCTGACCACCTCACTACCTCACCATCTCCTGTAGCTGACCACCTCGCTACCTAACCACCTCATGTAGCTGACCACCCCACATAAGTGATCACTTCACATAGCTGACCACCTCACCACCTCCTGTAGCTGACCACCTCACTACCTCAACACCTCATGTAGCTGACCACCCCACATAAGTGATCACTTCACATAGCTGACCACCTTGCTACCTCACCACCTCCTTTGCTGACCATCTCACATACCTGACCACCACAAATAACTCACCACCTCACGCAACTGACCACCTCACATTGCTGACCACCTCACATAGCTGAGCACCTCACATTGCTGACCACCTCACATAGCTGACCACCTCACATATCTCAACACCTCACACAACTTGCACCTCACATTGCTGACCACCTCACATATCTCACCACCTCACACAACTGACCACCACACATATTTCAACACCTCACACAACTGACCACCTCACATTGCTGACCACCTCACATATCTCACCACCTCACACAAACTGACCACCTCACATATTTCAACACCTCACACAACTGACCACCTCACATTGCTGACCACCCCACATATCTCACCACCTCACATATTTCAACACCTCACATATCTCACCACCTCACATATCTCAACACCTCACATGACTGAGCACCTCACATAGCTGAATGCCTCACATATCTCACCACCACACATATCTCAACACCTCACATGACTGAGCACCTCACATAGCTGACCACCTCACATATCTCACACCTCACATATTTCAACACCTCACACAACTGAGCACCTCACATATCTCAACACCTCACACAACTAACCACCTGACATATCTCAACACCTCACATGACTGACCATCTCACACAACCGGGCATAGCTTGTAGCCTTAGATGTTGACCGTTTCATGAGTTTTGTTTCTAAGGTATTTTAAGAGCCTACCAGGACAGCGCTATAACTCTGACATGACATAACCATTATTGTATTGTTATTGACATTTTAAGATAAAACAACACGGTGATCCAAGTGTGAACGACTGTGGCGCCAAACAAAGTGAATAGTGATCCAAGTGTGAACGACTGTGGTACCAACCTCGTCCCTCCCTTTTCTGGATTCCCGAATTCGCCCCCCTCCCCAACCCCCCCCCCCCATACCAGTAAAGAGATGACAAAATCCCCAGGCGCCAAACAAAGTGAATAGTGATCCAAGTGTGAACGACTGTGGTACCAACCTCGTCCCTCCCTTTTCTGGATTCCCGAATTCGCCCCCCTCCCCAACCCCCCCCCCATACCAGTAAAGAGATGACAAAATCCCCAACCTTTTCATCCGGGGACAATGCCAAGTCCAACAGCCGTGGTACTGTGCTGTGCTTGCTGTCGAATATCGCCGGGTGAGTACCCAAGTGTTCGGCGATCAGGCCCAGCGTGCTGATAGACAAAAGGGCGATAACGTCGTTCTTGGACCAGCACAGAGACAACACGGGTTGTAGCCCCCCATCATTCAGTGCTGAAATTTAAAATAACAACCGTTGAACCGTTTTTAATAATTTGTTGTTGTTCATTTTTAATTTATAAAAACAAATTAAATTCATTCGGAGACTAAGAAAGAATAAGCTGAAATTATTTGTCTTATTTTGACGTGGGATAATTCAAAGTACCTTTTGTTTTGAAATTGGCCGATTTGCAGAAGACCCTGAGTGCATTGATACCGTCGACGGCTATCTGCTCATTGTGATCTCCAACATTGCTCAGTATTCTAGAGTAGAGTACATTGCTATTTAGACCAGTGTACAACTCAATTGTATTTTTTTACCCGTTTTACTAAAGCTTACAACACTAGACTCATGTGTGTCTATTGCCTCACGCCATCAAACCCCTAGTGCATGATTCCCTCACAAAGTGGCACTGGAAATCAGTGAAATGTCCTCATCAACACCAGGCACAGAAACATTACAAATCCCATCTACATGCATAGGAGCCAAAATGATCAATAAATTGATCGTGGCCCTTAAGATATAGAAGAAGAAGACGAAAACATGCATGTTGCATTACACTAAGGGTTACCTAAGGCTGACAAAACAAGGACGCGGCTGATTCTTTAATTAAAAATTGTCCTACATCAACCTTAAAAATGTTTTCTTGTTTTAAATGCGTGTACTGTATGAAAATAAAAAGTATTGTTTCAACTTCACGACATGGACCGGTGTGTTATTTCTTTAGCAATGTGTTCAATAAATCGATGTACCCTGTCCCTTCCCCGTTGTATCCAATAACTCTATGTACGCTATTTCTTCACCGCTGTACCCAATAACTCTATGTACGCTATGTCTTCACCGCTGTACCCAATAACTCTATGTACGCTATTTCTTCACCGCTGTACCCAATAACTCTATGTACGCTATTTCTTCACCGCTGTACCCACTAACTCTATGTACGCTATTCCTTCACCGCTGTACCCAATAGCTCACTAACACACAAGTATTAAAAACAATTCATGTAGTTCACGAAAATTACTTCACTGAAAATAACACAATAAGAACAAATACGAAGATTGGATTCTGGTAAAAAGATGGGTTATCATTGATGACGTCAAACTGTAGGACAATATTGCAACAGGATGTCTATCCTCTAATCTGAAGACTAATGGATTAAGCTCTTCGGAGATGTTCTGTGGCATGGACTATGGGCGGTTCTTTTCAAATCTTTTCTCGTAATTTTTTTTTGTTTATACATAATGACTGACAGTTTTTACATTTTAATTTTGCATTCCTGCTGAAAACGCAAAGAGGATTTGTTTGTTTTTTTCACAAATAAAGATTCAGTGGACCGATGAGCGGAGTAGATCAGATGTAGACGCAGTGATGGCAATGATACAAACACAAGTGGAGTCAGTGAAGGCAATGATACAAACGCAAGTGGAGTCAGTGAAGGCACTGATACAAACATAATACAATTTCAAGTATATGGCATTCTAGAATTTGTATAGCTACCTCTTTAGAATGTTATAAAAAATCATTACCTCTAAGTTTTATGGTTCAATACCTCATTAGTATCAAAGGTATACTATACAATGATCTTAATGGTGTTAACTTTTATTGGTTTATTTCAGAATCGTTTATAATTTAATTTGTTTTTATTTTGAAATGTCATATTTTCTAAATAAAAATGTCCTCCTTTCCAGTCCTTTTTTAATATGAAATGTCCTCCTTTTTTTTTTTCATTTTTGCATCGGGTAACTATAGATACCATGTATTTATCTCAGTTAAAATTAAAACAAGGACTGGACGTGAAATATGTTTTGATAAAATCTTACTTGCAGATGGCTTTGATGGCCCCAGCCTCGGCCAGGTGATTATGAAGTGCTGTGTGATTGGACAACGCTTGAAGGCCGGAAATCACAGGACTCTGCGTCAGAGAGTAACAAGTAAGAGAGATGTGGGTTACACCTGATGCGAGAGAACTGGGTTAAACCAAATAAGAGAGAAATGGGTTCATGATAAAGTATGAGAATCACTGTATCTATGGTCAACTTTATTTTTGTCGTTTATTTGTAGTTGCATTCTTATGTCCGCGTGGGATTGGTGAAAGATGAAGGATATTAACATGGGATGAGGCATATATGGTGTGTGAACACGAGAAGCGTGTTGCTCAGTGTTCTGGTAGCGTAGTACCTCACGTAGTGTTCAAAGTGTTGAGAAGGAGAGGTTAGAGTGACCGTTGTGAACTCATGTTGTGTTGAGACATATGTGCTGTCAGAAACGTAACTCGATATTTGTAAGAAAGTTATCAGTAACATGATATGTATTAGAAAGTTATTAGTAACATATTTTAAGATCAATGAAATGAGAGAGAAATGGCTTCCAAAAAATGCGACGGGTAAATGATTTCATCCAAGTGCTGAAGTGAGTGATTCCATTTCTTATCGGGAAAAGTATCAAGGAAAAGGGGGAGAGAACTTACCAATACAGTGACTGCATCTGTAGAAGCTAAAGCTATCAGCGCTTGCATCCCGCCCAGTTCAACTAACTGCATGCATCAGTGGGTAGAGAGTATGGAATACCAAATGATAAAATGTGTCAATAATTTAATATATTTTATACAACTATAAATATGTCAATTTTTATTCTTTAACACTGAATTAAAAGATTTTATATTTTTTCAAAATTTCCATCGAATTATAGTTTTCATTTATATATATATTTTTTTTAATTGAGACATTTTTTAAACTGTTTTGCTTTTAGTGAAATCTTAATGAAACAGCATGACCGCCGGTGGCCGCTGGTGGCCAGTGATGACAGCCGATGACCGCTGTCCGTTTGCTTGTTTTAGTTTTTACTTCCTTGAGTGTTGACCCACGATGGCACATAATTGAAAATAACACCTTCATAATACACCTGTAACTAATGGGGAAAATTTTGATCAGTTTAAACCATGCAAACGCTTGCTCACTTTCTTGATGTGTTTTTCGTGTCTGGCGAATGAGGAAAGTCCTTTGGCAGCATCAATGAGAAAGTTCTGGGGAGATAGGAAAATAAAGCAAGAAATTATTCGACTCTTTTTAAAGTAAACTATGTACTTAACGAGGTTTTGGGGCGTGCATAAATGTGTAGCATATTCTCAGCTCTGAGCAAAAGGCGCCTTCGCTCATTAGGCCATGTGAGGAGAATGGAGGAAGGCCGCATTCTAAAGGATCTGATATATGGAGAATTGGCAGAAGTGTGAAGTCTTATTGGACGGCCACGGCTGCAATTTAAGGACGTTTGCAAAAGAAGCAAGAAGAAAACCAACATAAAAATCAACGAATGGGCCATCATCACTGAGCAACGTTCCAGTGTGTGAAGGAATTAAAAAAGGCAGAAGATGCGCGGAACGATACCCTTGCAACAAAAGGAGACATACGGAAGGCCAAATTTAACCAGGAATCAAGGTTCTCCTGCGAGAAATGCAGCCAAGGTTGCCATTCGAGGATCGGCCTAGTAAGCCATTTGATGAAGTGTCCATAGCAACTGCATCGTCTCGCGAAGACGGAAGGATGTCATATTTATATGTACTCTAAGTCAAAGGTAATCTAATAAGCATGCACTTTGGACTGGACACTTTGAACGGGTCACTTTGAATAGCTCACTCTCGGTGGCTCATTGACAGTACCGGGTCATCAAATTGATAACATTGTTTCACTTGTTTACATTCCCGGAAGATCCTGACCTATGGGCATGTGCTAGCCTTGACCTATGGGGTGAGTGGGGCAGATCATCTGTATGTTCTTAAAAGGATGGAGAACAATTTTTTAAAATTGACTTTCATTAATTAGCACGTTGTTTTGTTTTTGTCAAATTACTTGCTGCGATTAAATAGAGAACCTAATTAATTGTAGAACCTAATTAATTGTAGAAACTAATTAATTGTAGAACCTAGTTAATTGTAGAACCTAATTAATTGTAGAACCTAATTCATAGTATATATATAATTAATTGTAGAACTCAATTAATTGTAGAACTTAATTAATTGTAGAACTCAATTAATTGTAGAACTCAATTCATTGTAGAACTCAATTAATTGTAGAACTCAATTAATTGTAGAACTCAATTAATTGTATAGAACCTAATTAATTGTACTCGTCAATTAATTAAAGAACCTTATTAATTGTAGAGCCTAATTAATTAAAGAACCTAATTAATTGTAGAGCCAAATTCATATTATAGAACATTATTAATTGTAGAACTTAATTAATTGTAGAACCTAATTAATTAAAGAACCTAATTAATTGTAGAGCCTAATTCATATTATAGAACCTTATTAATTGTAGAACTTAATTAATTGTAGAACCTAATTAATTAAAGAACCTAATTAATTGTAGAACATAATTAATTAAAGAACCTATTGAATTGTAGAACCTAATTAATTGTAGAACCTAATTAATTGAATGCTAAAGAAATAACGCCTAACTTCAAAGTTTTTGGCCAACATCCTTTATTTGCATTGTTCTGTTCTTTCATGTCACTGTACGTGGTTGATCTTTTAGGACGTATTTTTTCATGTGAATGGTTGTTATCAAACTTACTGCATGTAAGACCTAATATACCTAAGATATGTTCAAAAGAAGAATTCTCGTGTTTAAAATAAAAAATTAGGAACATCTTTCTATCGGCAACGAGTCTGTGTGCCAAGTTTCAACTTGATAGGATGGCGGGAAGTGGGTCAATTAGCTTTACGAAGATTGTGCCACAAAGAAAGAAAGAAACACTGAAACAAAAGCGAAGTTAATTTTTTTTTTAAAAGGACTTCAAAATGTGTACTAAAGAAAGCTAGACATCCTTACATCAACTGTGGACCTTGACTTTGCGATCAACTCAGCGACGGTCCTGCACGACTCACACACCCTCTCAGCCTCCTCGATGCCAAGCTGAGGTAAAGGAATCTTAGAGGGGGAAGGGGGAGAGAAACAATAAGAATATACGTTTAAAAAGTAATAAGAGAAATGGGGATGCAATGAAGTAATTAGATCAACAATAACAGAAATAATTGAGAGAGCAATTTAAAACACGGTAATATATTTTTTAATAGAAACTGAAGGATAATGAACTAATTAAAAGTGTTTGACTGCAATAAAGCTTTCAAGTAGATTATTGAGACGCATAAAATGTGTGTAAATAGAACGGTTTAGGTTAAGTTTTAATCATAGTTACATGGAATACAATGGAAACGTTTTGGAAAATGCCTTCATGGGTGCAACAACAACAAAAAAAAACATTCACATAAGTATCAATTAAAATTACATTTATATATATATATATATCATACCTTAAAGGAGAGGAAATAAAATACTAAGAATTATTTAATGTCTGCTTATATGAAGGTTTTATGGTATCTGAAAGATGAATTTCTGAGATGTGTTGCTACATTTCTGAAATGTGTTGCTAGATTTCTTACATCTGTTGCTAGATTTCTGAGATGTGTTGCTAGATTTATGTGATATGTTGATAGATTTCTGTGATGTTTGATAGATTTCTGTAATGTGTCGCTAGATTTCTTAGATCTGTTGCTAGGTTTCTGAAATGTAGCTAGATTTATGTGATGTGTTGCTAGATTTATGTGATATGTTGCTAGATTTCTGTGATGTGTTGCTAGATTTCTTACATCTGTTGCTAGATTTCTGTGATGTGTTGCTAGATTTCTTACATCTTTTGCTAGATTTCTGAGATGTGTTGCTAGATTTATGTGATATGTTGCTAGATTTCTGTGATGTGTTGATAGATTTCTGTAATGTGTCGCTAGATTTCTTAGATCCGTTGCTAGGTTTCTGAGATGTCTTGCTAGATTTATGTGGATGTGTTGCTAGATGTATGTGATGTGTTGCTAGATTTATGAGATGTGCTGCTAGATTTCTGTGATGTGTTGCTAGATTTATGTGATGTGTTGATAGATTTCTGTAAAGTGTCGCTAGATTTCTTAGATCTGTTGCTAGGTTTCTGGGATGTCTTGCTAGATTTATGTGGATTTGTGCTAGATTTCTGTGATGTGTTGCTAGATTTATGTGATGTGTTGCTAAATTTCTGTGATGTGTTGCTAGATTTATGTGATGTGTTGCTAGATTTATGTGATGTGTTGCTAGATTTATGTGGATTTGTGCTAGATTTCTGTGATGTGTTGCTAGATTTATGTGATGTGTTGCTAGATTTATGTGATGTGTTGCTAGATGTATGTGATGTGTTGCTAGATTTATGTGATGTGTTGCTAGATTTATGTGATGTGTTGCTAGATTTCTGTGATGTGTTGCTAGATTTATGTGGATTTGTGCTAGATTTCTGTGATGTGTTGCTAGATTTATGTGGATTTGTGCTAGATTTATGTGATGTGTTGCTAGATTTATGTGATGTGTTGCTAAATTTCTGTGATGTGTTGCTAGATTTTTAGGATGAAGTAACACCAACAAAAAATAAAACACTCTCACATCAAGTCTTAGCGTAAAAATAATTGTAGTTTGTGTTGCTTTGTAGTGACGCAATATAAATCTGTGCCCAACATTGTTTTCTGACCTTATTACCACAACATTTGGAACACCTGACAGCTCCACACATACGACAGTGATGACGTCGCTTGAGCTGAGTGAATTTGATGGAACACAACTCACAGTAACTGGACTGTCCATCGGGCACCCAGCTGTAGAGTGAGCAACACAACATCTAGCTTAACGGGTTACTGGCACAAGTTTCACATGGGCCACTTATGTGACCCAAAGAAATCGAACATGAATTATGGACTGATGGACACTTACGGTGGTCTGACGGACACTTACGGTGAAATGATGGACTCTTACGGTGAAATGATGGACACTAATGGTTGACTGGTAAACACTTCTGGTGGACTGATGGATACTTATGGTTGACTGGTAAACACTTCTGGTGGACTGATGGATACTTATGGTTGACTGGTAAACACTTATGGTGGACTGGTGGATACTTATGGTTGACTGGTAAACATTTATGGTGGACTGGTGGATACTTATGGTGGACTGGTGGACATTAATGGTGGACTGGTGGATACTTATGGTTGACTGGTAAACACTTATGGTGGACTGGTGGATACTTATGGTTGACTGGTAAACACTTATGGTGGACTGGTGGACACTAATGGTGGACTGGTGGATACTTATGGTTGACTGGTAAACACTTATGGTTGACTGGTGGACACTTATGGTTGACTGGTAAACACTTATGGTGGACTGGTGGACACTTATGGTTGACTGGTGGACACTTATGGTGGACTGGTGGACACTTATGGTTGACTGGTGGACACTTATGGTGGACTGGTAAACACTTCTGGTGGACTGGTGGATACTTATGGTTGACTGGTAAACACGTATGGTGGACTGGTGGACACTTATGGTTGACTGGTAAACACGTATGGTGGACTGGTGGATACTTATGGTTGACTGGTAAACACGTATGGTGGACTGGTGGACACTTATGGTTGACTGGTAAACACGTATGGTGGACTGGTGGATACTTATGGTTGACTGGTAAACACGTATGGTGGACTGGTGGACACTTATGGTTGACTGGTAAACACGTATGGTGGACTGGTGGACACGTATGGTGGACTGGTGTTGTTTTTAAATCGTATATTATTCTTATTCAAGGCTGCGTTATTGTGTTGTTGTTTTGATAATAAGGATGTCATGTGTGGATGCCATGTGTGGGTGTCATGTGTAGATGTCATGTGTGGATGTCATGTGTGGATGTCATGTGTGGATGTCATGTGTGGATGTCATGTGTTGCTGTCATTTGTAGATGCCATGTCTGAATGTCATGTGTATATGTCATGTGTGGATGTCATGTGTGGATGTCATGTGTAGATGTCACGTGTGGTTTTCGTGTGGTTATTTACGGTATTTAAATTATTTCAATCTAATGGAAAGACTGCTGTTGTGGCTGGCGGTATGTGTTTGTTTTCTATGCACGTGCAGCTTGGAGTGTTTATGAAACTGAAATTGGCGTATTACAAATGTAATTAATTGAAATAACTCAATGGAGCATCACACATAACGTTGATTACAATTATTTGTAATTGCAACATTAGACGACATAATTAAATTTATCCATAGGCTTTTTTTAGCCACTGATAACGTGACAATAATTTAAATATTTGCTGCGAGTAGCTCATTCGCTGATATTGCAGTGTGCCGAGTAGCTTATTCGCTGATGTAGCCGTGTACAGAGTAGCTTATTCGCTGATGTAGCCGTGTACCGAGTAGCTTATTCGCTGATGTAGCCGTGTACAGAGTAGCTTATTCGCTCATGTAGCCGTGTACCGAGTAGATTATTCGCTGATGTTGCTGTTTGCCGAGTAGTTTATTCGCTGATATGGCCATGTGCCGAGTAGCCTATTCGCTGATATGGCCATGTGCCGAGAAGCGTATTTGCTGATGTAGCCATGTGCAGAGTAGCTTATTCGCTGATGTAGTCGTGTGCTGAGTAGCTTATTCGCTGATGCAGTCGTGTGCCGAGTAGATGATTCGCTGATGTAGCCGTGTGCTGAGTAGCTTATTCGCTGTTGTAGCCGTGTGCTGAGTAGCTTATTCGCTGAAGCAGCCGTGTGCGAAGTAGCTTATTAGCTGTTGTAGCCGTGTACCGTGTAGCTTATTCGCTGTTGTAGCCGTGTACCGAGTAGTTTATTCGCTGTTGTAGCCGTGTACCGAGTAGCTTATTCGCCGTTGTAGCCGTGTACCGAGTAGCTTATTCGCTGATGTAGCCGTGTACCGAGTTGCTTATTAGCTGATGTAGCCGTTTACCGAGTAGCTTATTAGCTGATGTAGCCGTGTACCGAGTAGCTTATTAGCTGATGTAGTCGTGTACCGAGTAACTTATTAGCTGTGTAGCCATGTACCGAGTAGCTTATTCGCTGATGTAGCCGTGTGCCGAGTAGCTTATTAGCTGATGTAGCCGTGTACCGAGTAGCTTATTAGCTGATGTAGCCGTGTACCGAGTAGCTTATTAACTGATGGAGCCGTGTACCGAGTAGCTTATTCGCTGTTGTAGCCGTGTACCGAGTAGCTTATTAGCTGATGTAGCCGTGTACCGAGTAGCTTATTCGCTGTTATAGCCGTGTACAGAGTAGCTTATTAGCTGATTTAGCCTTGTACCGAGTAGCTTATTAGCTGATGTGGCCATGTGCCGAGTAGCTTTTTCGCTGATGTAGCCGTATACCGAGTAGAGTATTAGCTGTTGTAGCCGTGTACCGAGTAGCTTATTCGCTGATGTAGCCGTGTACCGAGTAGCGTATTAGCTGTTGTAGCCGTGTACCGAGTAGCTTATTCGCTGATGTAGCCGTGTACCGAGTAGCTTATTAGCTGTTGTAGCCGTGTACCGAGTAGCTTATTCGCTGTTGTAGCCGTGTACCGAGTAGCTTATTCGCTGTTGTAGCCGTGTACCGAGTAGCTTATTCGCCGTTGTAGCCGTGTACCGAGTAGCTTATTCGCTGATGTAGCCGTGTACCGAGTTGCTTATTAGCTGATGTAGCCGTGTACCGAGTAGCTTATTAGCTGATGTAGCCGTGTACCGAGTAGCTTATTAGCTGATGTAGTCGTGTACCGAGTAACTTATTAGCTGATATAGCCGTGTACCGAGTAGCTTATTCGCTGTTGTAGCCGTGTAACGAGTAGCTTATTCGCTGATTTAGCCGTGTACCGAGTAGCTTATTAGCTGATGTAGCCGTGTACCAAGTAGCTTATTAGCTGATGTAGCCGTGTACCGAGTAGCTTATTAGCTGATGTAGCCGTGTACCGAGTAGCTTATTCGCTGTTGTAGCCGTGTAACGAGTAACTTATTCGCTGTTATAGCCGTGTACCGAGTAGCTTATTCGCTGATGTAGTGTACCGAGTAGCTTATTTGCTGTTGTAGCCATGTACCGAGTAGCTTATTCGCGGTTGTAGCCGTGTACCGAGTAGCTTATTAGCTGATGTAGTTGTGTACCGAGTAGCTTATTAGCTGATGTAGCCGTGTACCGAGTAGCTTATTCGCTGATGTAGCCGTGTACCGAGTAGCTTATTAGCTGATGTGGCCATGTGCCGAGTAGCTTATTCGCTGATGTAGCCGTGTACCGAGTAGCTTATTAGCTGACGTAGCCGTGTACCGAGTAGCTTATTAGCTGATGTACCCGTGTACCGAGTAGCTTATTAGCTGATGTAGCCGTTTACCGAGTAGCTTATTAGCTGATGTAGCCGTGTACCGAGTAGCTTATTAGCTGATGTAGCCGTGTACCGAGTAGCTTATTAGCTGATGTAGCCGTGTACCGAGTAGCTTATTAGCTGATGTAGCCGTGTACCGAGTAGCTTATTAGCTGATGTAGCCGTGTACTGAGTAGCTTATTAGCTGATGTAGCCGTATAACGAGTAGCTTATTCGCTGATGTAGCCGTGTACCGAGTAGCTTATTAGCTGATGTAGCCGTGTACCGTGTAGCTTATTAGCTGATGTAGTCGTGTACCGAGTAGCTTATTAGCTGATGTAGCCGTGTACCGAGTAGCTTATTAGCTGATGTAGCCGTGTACCGAGTAGCTTATTAGCTATTGTACCCGTGTACCAAGTAGCTTATTAGCTGATGTAGCCGTGTACCGAGTAGCTTATTCGCTGTTGTAGCCGTGTAACGAGTAACTTATTCGCTGTTATAGCCGTGTACCGAGTAGCTTATTCGCTTTTGTAGTGTACCGAGTAGCTTATTCGCTGTTGTAGCCGTGTACCGAGTAGCTTATTCGCTGTTGTAGCCGTGTACCGAGTAGCTTATTAGCTGATGTAGTTGTGTACCGAGTAGCTTATTAGCTGATGTAGCCGTGTACCGAGTAGCTTATTCGCTGATGTTGCTGTTTGCCGAGTAGTTTATTCGCTGATATGGCCATGTGCCGAGTAGCCTATTCGCTGATATGGCCATGTGCCGAGAAGCGTATTTGCTGATGTAGCCATGTGCAGAGTAGAATTCGCTGATGTAGGCGGGTACCGAGTAGCTTATTCGCTGATGTAGCCGTGTACCGAGTAGCTTATTCGCTGATGTAGCCGTGTACCGAGTAGCTTATTCGCTGATGTAGGCGTGTACCGAGTAGCTTATTAGCTGATGTGGCCATGTGCCGAGTAGCTTATTCGCTGATGTAGCCGTGTACCGAGTAGCTTATTAGCTGATGTAGCCGTGTACCGAGTAGCTTATTCGCTGATGTAGCCGTGTACCGAGTAGCTTATTAGCTGTTGTAGCCGTGTACCGAGTAGCTTATTCACTGATGTAGCCGTGTACCGAGTAGCTTATTCGCTGATGTAGCCGTGTGCCGAGTAGCTGATTCGCTGATGTAGCCGTGTACGGAGTAGCTTATGTGGTGATGTTGGCGTGTACCGAGTAGCTTATTCGCGGTTGTAGGGGTGTACCGAGTAGCTTATTAGCTGATGTAGCCGTGTACCGAGTAGCTTATTCGCTGATGTAGCCGTGTACCGAGTAGCTTATTAGCTGATGTAGCCGTGTACCGAGTAGCTTATTCGCTGATGTAGCCGTGTACCGAGTAACTTATTAGCTGTTGTAGCCGTGTACCGAGTAGCTTATTCACTGATGTAGCCGTGTACCGAGTAGCTTATTCGCTGATGTAGCCGTGTACCGAGTAGCTTATTAGCTGATGTAGCCGTGTACCCAGTAGCTTATTCGCTGATGTTGCTGTTTGCCGAGTAGCTTATTCGCTGATATGGCCATGTGCCGAGTAGCCTATTCGCTGATATGGCCATGTGCCGAGAAGCTTATTTGCTGATGTAGCCATGTGCAGAGTAGCTTATTCGCTGATGTAGTCGTGTGCTGAGTAGCTTATTCGCTTATGCAGTCGTGTGCCGAGTAGATGATTCGCTGATGTAGCCGTGTGCTGAGTAGCTTATTCGCTGTTGTAGCCGTTTGCTGAGTAGCTTATTCGCTGAAGCAGCCGTGTGTCGAGTAGCTTATTCGCTGTTGTAGCCGTGTGCCGAGTAGCTTATTCGCTGATGTAGCCTTGGGCCGAGCGGGTGAATGCTTGGCGGGAATACAGTTTTAAATTTAGTTCACAAATCCAAGGAAATGAGGTGTTGAGAACTACAGCTTTTCATTTATTCTGAGAGCGCGGTAACTATAACAAGAAAAAGCCGAATAAAAAGGACAATATCTTCTCCTAAATCTTAAGGGCCCACGATCAATTTTATCATTTTGGCTCCTATGCATGTAAATGGGATTTGCAATGTTTCTGTTCCTGGTGTTGAGGAAATTTCATTGATTTCCAGTGCCACTTTGTGAGGGAATCATGCACTAGGGGTTTGATGCTTGAGGCAATAGACACAAATGTGTCTAGTGGTGTCGCTTCAACCGTTCCTTTTGAAAGATTGTTCCCGTCCCTGATTGTCTTGGGCAGGAATGAGCATCTCCTATACTGGCTTCTTGCCGGTATGCGCCTGAATTGCCTGTCATGGCCTCGTCGCTGTCTATGGGGGAGAGGGACGAGTTTATGTTTAATACTGGAACAGATACATCAAAAATTTAAGCATAAATCCCGAGTAATAAACAAGTTGGATAACTCTGGATTACGAATGTTTGACAGTTATTCCAAAGTGTGACAATCATCTAATAAACACGTGGGATAACTCTGGATGAAACTGATATTAGGAATGTGGCGTTACGCCTAACAGATAAACTTTATCTTTTTGAAGTTATCAGAACGCCAGTCATGAACTGCCAACAAACAAATATAATTTTCCACCAAATTGAAAACCAACATTACAAATTAACAACTGTTGATGACGGCTCAGGGGCGGGTCAACATAGCTTTGAAAGCTTGGCAGGCGAACCCTCAAATCAACATAGCATTGAAAGCTTGGCAGGCGAACCTTCAAATCAACATGGCTTTGAAAGCTTGGCACGCGAACCCTCAAATCAACATGGCATTGAAAGCTTGGCAGGCGAACCCTCAAATCAACATGGCTTTGAAAGCTTGGCAGGCGAACCCTCAAATCAACATAGCATTGAAAGCTTGGCAGGCGAACCCTCAAATCAACATGGCTTTGAAAGCTTGGCAGGCGAACCCTCAAATCAACATGGCTTTGAAAGCTTGGCAGGCGAACCCTCAAATCAACATGGCATTGAAAGCTTGGCAGGCGAACCCTCAAATCAACATGGCTTTGAAAGCTTGGCAGGCGAACCCTCAAATCAACATGGCTTTGAAAGCTTGGCAGGCGAACCCTCAAATCAACATGGCTTTGAAAGCTTGGCAGGCGAACCCTCAAATCAACATGGCTTTGAAAGCTTGGCAGGCGAACCCTCAAATCAACATAGCATTGAAAGCTTGGCAGGCGAACCCTAAAATCAACATGTGCTTGGCAGGCGAACCCTCAAATCAACATAGCATAGAAAGCTTGGCAGGCGAACCCTCACATCAACATAGCATTGAAAGCTTGGCAGGCGAACCCTCACATCAACATAGCATTGAAAGCTTGGGAGGCGACCCTTCACATGAGAGAGAATGGGATTCCAAACATTTCAAAGTTGTTGATAAAATGATGTATAAAGAATTGAGGCTTGTAATAAGTTGGGGGAGGAGGGGTGAGCCGGTACTGACCCTGATACCCGGAAATGCCGAGTATTCGCACACCCGGCGCATATATACTATATATACACTATATACCAGCTTCCACGTGACACAATATACCAGCTTTTACGTGACGCTATATACCAGCTTCCACTGACGCTATATACCAGCTTCCACGTGACGCTATATACCAGGTTCCACGTGACGCTATATACCAGCTTCCACGTGACGCTATATACCAGCTTCCACGTGACGCTATATACCAGCTTCCAGTTTGTCTTCTCCAGCAGCACTTTTTAAAAATTATTAACAGCTAATACCAACCTGAACATTTGTAGAAGCTAGGGGCGCGATAATGTAAAACTCCCCAGGGTGCCAAAATTTGCTAATGCCGGCCCTGTACAAAAGAATTTAAATTTCAATCAAACTATTCGGAACTGAACCTCACTCATTTATGCATTTGTATCTTCTAATGCATTGATTTTGTTGTGCATTAATGAGCGAATTGTACGTTGTAAGAATTTTGGGTGGAAAATGTGGGATGGGGATGAGACTGAAGAGTAGAATGGAAGTGGAAGTGATGGTCCACATTTTGAGACGTGTTCAAACCTGGGCTTGACTAGGGTGAAATGAGGACACTGGAACACATCCGGTGAGCCGTCGACTTTAGCAGGCAAGATGATACTGCCTTCCACTTTGATGTAATCCATTTGGTATGTGCTACAACAGAACTGTTAGTGACACCATACCACGCCTGGTGGTCTGTTCTTGATGTCCCGGTATTGAAGTTGTCACACCTGATGCAAATAAAAGTAATATATATTAAAAATAGTTACGTACCATTATGGTTATAAAGATTAAATCTGTTTTGAGACGTGGCTCGTATATACGAACTATACGTAAAAAAACAACTAATTTAAGTAAATTTCCATACAAAGACAAAGTTGAATATAGAGGCAAAGGTTATATCAAGTTGGATATAGAGGCAAAGGGTATATCAAGTTGAATATAGAGGCAAAGGTTATATTAACTTACAGCAAGTGGGGAAAAGTACAACCCTCAAAAAAGAAATATTAATTTACATAAGTCTCGCTAAGTCTACCTCTCAGTAAGTCTCGCTAAGTCTACCTCTCAGTAAGTCTTTCTAAGTCTACCTCTCAGTAAGTCTTGGTAAGTCTACCTCTCAGTAAGTCTTGGTAAGTCTACCTCTCAGTAAGTCTTGGTAAGTCTACCTCTCAGTAAGTCTTGGTAAGTCTACCTCTCAGTAAGTCTTGCTAAGTCTACCTCTCAGTAAGTCTTGCTAAGTCTACCTCTCAGTAAGTCTTGGTAAGTCTACCTCTCAGTAAGTCTTGGTAAGTCTACCTCTCAGTAAGTCTTGCTAAGTCTACCTCTCAGTAAGTCTTGGTAAGTCTACCTCTCAGTAAGTCTTGGTAAGTCTACCTCTCAGTAAGTCTTGGTAAGTCTACCTCTCAGTAAGTCTTGGTAAGTCTACCTCTCAGTAAGTCTTGGTAAGTCTACCTCTCAGTAAGTCTTGGTAAGTCTACCTCTCAGTAAGTCTTGGTAAGTCTACCTCTCAGTAAGTCTTGGTAAGTCTACCTCTCAGTAAGTCTTGGTAAGTCTGTCTGCTAAGATTTCTGGCGGGCTTTATATATGAATTAAATCCAAACGTTCTAGTACAGAAAATCTAGAATTTTCGTCACCCATTGACGTTCTTGAGAACAAATGGAACGCATTCGAAGGTAAACAGACTCTTCCCCAGCCAGGACATGGGTGGGCAGGGAAAGTGACAACACATTCACTCGGTGGCGTCAATTTCAAGGCCGAGACAAGTCTAAGTAGTTGTGGCCAAAAATAGCTGTATGTTGAAGTTTAAAAATTAACCCTGCGCTGTACTAGGCCATATATAACATTAATGGTGTCGCCACTGGTAGGATGGTTGGGTATGGAGGGGTGTTACCATGTTCCACCCCGGTGGCACTTGTTTCGATATACTAAGGAGCCTCATATTCGGCCAAATATATCGTTTTTACTTGAGGAAGAGGCGGTTTACATCAATGCCCTCCCCGGGTTTACGCCACTAGACGGAGCTCCTCTAATAAAAGAAGCCACTTATGTGCCGTATATAATTAAGTTAACAAGAAATATAGAGTGAACAAGCGATACTATTGGGTAGAAACGTTTATTCCTAAGTACTCAATACATATCTATACAACAGAATCAAATGTGAGTATTCGGAGATAGATAGATATAAAGGTATCTTTATATAAGCACCACTATATCTTTTTCTTATTCTATATATTGAGGGCCCACGATCAATGTATTGATAATTATGGCTCCTATGTGAGCACACTTATATGAGCACATGTGTAGGAGCACATTGATGAGCACACTGATATGTGCATACTAATATTGGGTGATACTGAAAACTATTAGTGTGTGTGTGTGGGGGGGGGGGTTAACTGATTTATTCTAACTTGGTGAGGCTAATGTCTGAAGTGTGCACACTACCATTTTCCTGGTATTGTCTCGGTTCACGACCTAAATCAATGTGTAGGAGCACATTGATGAGCACACTGATATGTGCATACTAATATTGGGTGATACTGAAAACTATTAGTGTGTGTGTGTGGGGGGGGGGTTAACTGATTTATTCTAACTTGGTGAGGCTAATGTCTTAAGTGTGCACACTACCATATTCCTGGTATTGTCTCTGTACACGACCTAAATCTGGTATTGGCTCTGTACACATCCTACACCTAGTATTTTCTCTGTACACAACCTAAACCTAGTATTGTCTCTGTACACAACATACAGCTGGTATTGTCTCTGTACACAAAATACAGCTGGAATTGTCTCTGTACACAACCTACACCTGGCATTGTCTCTGTACACAACCTACACCTGGTAGTGTCTTTGTACACAGCCTACACTCGGTCTTTTCTGCACATATAGAGCCTACTCTTAGTCTTGACTTTGAATCCACATTCCACTACGACAACCTAGCCTTGTCTGTGCATACGCAACCTTCTCGCTCCATTTTCTGTGATTAAACAACCTAGTCGCAGCTTTGTCTCTGAATATCCCATTTACTGAATCTTGTGTGTGACGGTGCAACAACAAGCTAATCATAGACTCTTTTAAATTTAAATTCAGTTTTCAGATTTTACAAGAGTCCTATCGAAAGTCACCCAGCTGAGCAAAATAGACGAAGGCAGTCTCTCCTGTAGCGTAGCCAGTTGGTTTTGGGAGCGGGGGGGGGGGGTGGCAAACCACTACCACTGAGATTACTTATATAAAAAAAGTGGAGCTATTTCAAGGATATCTTCTTTTTCTTAATGAACATTAGAATTAACTATTAATAAATTAATTATTTATTTTTTAAAATGTTATTTATTACTGTTAAATTTTGGTAGCAGCTAAAAATTAAGGCTTAATATAATGACATTCAGTTAAGGTAACCTGAATTCCCACTAGTATGTTGTTCTAAGATAAAATGTAGAATGATGAACAACGAAATTCCGGTATGCGCTAAAATGCATCACTGAATTTTTAAATTACTAATATATATTTATACATTTATATATGCCCAGCGCGCTCTAAAACCCCTTTCCTTATTTCCACCCCCCTCCACCCCGGCCATGATCAAAGTCAAAGTTCCGACACACAGCTTATTTTCTTAATGTATATTTACAATGTAATCATAAAAATTTTTGTTAAACTTATTCTGTTAATGCGTTTTCTTTTATTCATTTCAACCCACCCCCCCCCCCCGGTCAAGTGTCAGAACCTGTCTAAGCTACTAAGTGTTTCCATAAGTGGTGGTCAGTGAACCTGTACCGGTTCGCCAAGTCAAAGTTCCGACACATAGCTTATTTTCTTAATGTATATTTACAATGTAATCATAAAAATTTTTGTTAAACTTATTCTGTTAATGCGTTTTCTTTTATTCATTTCAACCCACCCCCCCCCGGTCAAGTGTCAGAACCTGTCTAAGCTACTAAGTGTTTCCATAAGTGGTGGTCAGTGAACCTGTACCGGTTCGCCAGCCTTACAATAGAATATTAAGAATATTTCTTTTCACTATCATAGAGACAGAGGCGTAGCTAGAGTATTTGGCTCCCAGGGACAAGATTCATTTTTACGCCCTCCGCCCCCCCCCCTCAAGTCTAAACCCATTTTTTTCACCAATAACATGCGATCAAAGCCCTTTTTTTTCGCCCCCACCAATCTTGCGGCCGGGAAATGTATCCCCCTCCTCCCCCACCTCCCTGTTGCTACGCCTCTGGGAAGAGACGGAAATTGTTGCAGAAAAATGCTCGCCTGATTCTGCATATTAACAAAGTTTGGGTTAAAGTTATATAAGTTAAAGTCAATCAATTTCATGTTTTCTAGTAAAGACTTTTCCACTTTTAATGGTTGAAGTTATTGTTGATTTGTATTATTTGAAAAGACATTAGCGCGATGGACAATAAATTAAAATGATCCCAATAGAAGTCATGGTGTACAAAATTAAACATCAACTAAGTCATCAACTACGTCAACTTTATTTCCCACATTTGGAGATTTAAAAAAAAAAAATTCTATTCTTCACAAATCTAAACATTGTTACTTTACATACAATTAAATGAAATTATTTTTTTTTTAAAGTTATTTACGATATTCCATAAATGGCTACAAGTTAGGCTTGGGGCTTTTCAAGCATAATCAATATTCCATTAATATGATTTTGGTCAATACATTTAGCATTAATTGTCAGTTAAATGGTTCCCGTATTGTCCATTACAACAATTTTTTTAAAAAAACAATTATCTTAATTTTAAAAAAAACTGAATTTTTTATGTAAATGTAAAGAATAAAAACAGTGGCTGGTGTCACCCGGTGCGGGAAATTCATGGTGTCACACACTTGATAAGCCTTAGTTTTAAAAAGCTCCGCTCACATGAAGCCTTCGGCGAGAGAATTAGAAGAGATTCTATGAGGGCTCATTCGGATATGAATTTCAAAATATTGAAAACTGACCAGTCCAGGACTTTGTGAAATGCAATATCCGATGCCTTTAGTGTCATCTAAGCCTTAGTATTTCTTTAAACAGTTCATCTTCCCATTACTGAACATAAAAATATTTTAATTTTAGAACGGACACCAATAACTCTTCTTCAATTGCTGATAATAGACTCTTGGGTTGAACAGCCCCAAACATATCTGCTACTTCCTTGATCGCTGATGATCTGATCTCGAGTTAAGAATGAAAGACTTCAATTCACTCAAGCATATCCCTACAGTTCTTCCACTCGTAGAGAGAGTACAGCATCTTTTAGTTGTTTTCCAGCCATTCTCTTCTTAAAAATTAATCTTCTCTCTAACCAAATTCCAAATTGTTCTGATTTTAAAAGTACCTTTTCAATAGCATGTTCCACCAAGGGACAGAGCTTCTCGTGCATAAACAAACTTGAGGTCCCTAGGTTGGTCACCACTTTGTCAAGAGTAAAGCCTTCAATCTGCACATACTGCTGTGTAAGATTAACTTCCCCAATTAGTTCAGCACAAAGGTAAAAAGTAGCAGATAAACGTGGAATCACAGACAGCATGTAAAAGATTGTGTGTTGTACCCATTGAATCCTAATTTACAAGAGGATCACATAGAGCTTCAATCACCGCCACACATTCATCAAACTTATCTTTTACTGTTTTAACAGCAGCATGATGAGCACTCCGACATGTTTTTGAGAGTCTTTTCACCGACATTCAATTGTGTTCAGTTAAAACACCCCATCGATGAGTGGAGGCAGCAAGGAATAAAAATATTCTCTCAATAGTACTGACAAAAAATGTCATAAGTGAAATGTTTGCGGCAAACGGGTGGTGACCACACAAGTTAAGCGAATGGCCCAGGTGACCACACAAGTTAAGCGAATGGCCCAGGTGACCACACAAGTTAAGCGAATGGCCCAGGTGACCACACAAGTTAAGCGAATGGCCCAGGTGACCATGACCACACAAGTTAAGCGAAAAGAACAGGTGACCACACAAGTTAAGCGAAAGGCCCAGGTGACCACACAAGTTAAGCGAATGGCCCAGGTGACCACACAAGTTAAGCGAATGGCCCAGGTGACCACACAAGTTAAGCGAATGGCCCACACATTAATTAAAATAGCGTTATCATTATCATTATTTCTTTTCAGAATGACCTGAACACCTCCATGGATTCCACACATTGTGACAGCATTATCGTAGCCTTGCGCTCTGTACGTTATTATGTCTAGTCCATCAAGTAAGAATGTCAGACCTGAGATCGTCAGCTTTTTTCCCCCTTAAAGGGCAAAATCAAAGAAACACTTGTCTCACTTCAACTTCCCCATTGTGGATTTTCACATATCTGATCACTTCAGACATCTAATCAGTGTGTGATAAATCAGGTGTACTGTCGAAAACATTTGCAAAATACTTCGTAGCCTTTATATCCATGATAAGAATCTCCTTCACATGATTTGCAAGGACATTCATAAATTTATTTTGGGTTTCTGGTGAAAGGTGTGATGCGGATGCTTATGTCCACTCCTCTTTAGTCTCGTTAGGTGCTCTCTTAGCACTATGATAGATTCCTCTTTAGTCTCGTTAGGTGCTCTCTTAGCACTATGATAGATTCCTCTTTAGCCTCGTTAGGCGCTCTCTTAGCAATATGATAGATTCCTCTTTAGCCTCGTTAGGTGCTCTCTTAGCACTATGATAGATTCCTCTTTAGTCTCGTTAGGTGCTCTCTTAGCACTATGATAGATTCCTCTTTAGTCTCGTTAGGTGCTCTCTTAGCACTATGATAGATTCCTCTTTAGTCTCGTTAGGTGCTCTCTTAGCACTATGATAGATTCCTCTTTAGTCTCGTTAGGTGCTCTCTTAGCACTATGATATATTTAAATTGCGTCTTAACTATTTCAATAAAGTTTCATCTTATTTATGGCCACGAAATTCCAGATTATTGCTTTGTGTTGAGATCCGATGGTACTCATTTATTTTGACCCGCTGGCTCACACTCTCTCCGTCCCTAACCACGTGAGATTATGCAATTAGGGCTAGCACTAACAATGAATCGAAATTAACCTAGTAACCTTGACCGTGACCCAACTGAAACAATGGGTATCTAGTCAGGCGTGCCCACGCAGCCCATACTATATAAGGCAAGGCTCAACTCTACCTGCTCTCTTTTGCCTGAAATTAGTGCACAGCCTGGCTTGCTATATTTTTGTGATGAAGTTTGTTCACCCATAACTGGCTAGGTTTGTGATTATTAATTTTCATGTGTTTGTAAATTCAAATAAAAGAAATTCATGTTAAAGATTTTATTAAGAAATGTTAGTTAGCTTATGATTAATGATTAACGATTTGATGTGATTCGAATGTATTAGTTATGACTTATGTGTTGCATTCCTTATTTTATTCTAATTTCTAGCCAGTCGAGTCCAGTGTAGTTCAGTCTAGTCTAGCATAGTGAAAACTAGTATATAGGGTTGTCGTTCAGTACACGGCAGTTGAGGTCAGTCAGTTAGTAGCTATACTAACGCTGACATCCTCTATAAGGAATTCAAGAGTAGGCTGGGCTTACGGGAGACAACCCTGGACTCCCGCCAGCAATACGGGGCGTGGATGCCACGCCGTTCGAGTGTAGACCCATTACGTCCTCAGTACGAGTAACCGGCTCATACATATGACGACGGCTAACTCCGAAAGAGGAATCATAGGAAAGGGAGAGGACTCGAGAGAGTCCCCAATTGATCAGGGCCTCAGACAAGGAGATTCACTATCATGTATTCTGTTCAACATCTCGTTAGGACAAGTCATTAGAAACATACATGGGAGCATCAGTGGAACCATTAAAAACAACTTCCAGAGAATCATGACAGGACCACAACCATCATGAAATTTGTATAGCCAGCCACTGTAGTACCTGGCATCCGCGGATGATAAAGCGCTTCTGGGCAGAAACAGAAATGATATAATATAAAGAATTCAGTCAAAGCTGGTCTTTGGGTAAATAAAGCGAAGACAAAATATATGATAATGTCACGAATCACGGAAACTGATGACAACATCAACATCAATATAAACAACTACACCTTTGAGAAAGTCGTTACATTCAAATATCTATTGGCGACTATAAATGAGCACAATGAAATAATTTCGGAGATAAAGGAAAGGATAACAGCAAGCAACCGTTCTTATTTCGGCCACCAAAAGTTACTAGGAAGCAAAAACATCTCAAGAGGAACAAAGAAGGCGATAGTCACCATGTTCATAAGACCACTTGTAACTTACCAGTACCAGAAAAGCAGAGAACCTGCTCTATACATGAGAGCGGAAAATCCTCAGGAAAATATATGGACCAGTGATAGACAATGATGTTTGAAGAGTCCGAACAAACCAAGAGCTATATCAATTGTACAAAGACCCACCCATAGTCGCAACAATAAAAAGGCAGACTGCCCTGGACAGGACACATAGAGGATAGCAGTTTGCAAAGCAGGAAAGTGATCTACAGGCAGAAATCTATCAGCAGACGGCTCACCGGTTGACCAAGACAAAGATGGGTCAACGATGTAGGGAAGGACTTAAACCAAGTGGAGGTTCAAGCATGGAGGCGGAAAGCCGTGGATTGATCCAAATGGAAGTTTTGTGGTGGAGATACCCAAGACCCTGCATGGGCTGCAGCGCCACTGATGATGATGATGGCTGGCCAGCGAATTATTCCTTGTCGGATTTCTTTAGCTAAAGTGTCAGTGCTACTGTTTCATCTTTTAATATTTCCTGGTTATTGGCTAAGGGAAAAAAAAACATATTCAGATGGTGAGAAGTTTTAAATTTGATTTCAAGAATGTGTAGATTCATTATTTCCTGAATTTAGGATCGGAAGAAATACAAATAAATATCTAATTGTCACCTTTCTACCAGACTGTAGCAAGAAGTGTTGAAATTGAAAGTATGGCCTGGGACACATTTGAGCAGTTGCTTCAAAATGTGAAAAATGCTACCTCTGCCAGTTTCAGTCTTGCATTGATGAATCATTCGAGCTAGTCCATCAAATCAACGACAGTTTAAGACTTTGTTAAAAGAATGTGAAGGAAATTTGAGGATTTCGTTCTTCATACAGTAAACAGATGTTCGTAGAGCAAAGGGAAAGTACGGGCAAGATTCTGGGATTTAATTGAAGTACGGCAGTCAAACATTTTCTCGGGTGCAAATCAAAAGGCTATTTGTTAAATTATGTTTAAATTCCTGAGTGTATTGAAAGTCTAGCATTTCTAACTGGCATCATAGTTTTCAAATATCTTAGAATTAGTCAAATTTTACTCACTTAGACTTAACAACCCTTTCAAATGCTGCACAACAATTTACAGAGTAGAGCTGATCTCGAGTGAGCGATTCAATTTATTGTTACAAAAATTGAAGTTTGATTTTTTTTAACCATTTTAATTTTAACGAAATTCGCGTTCTTACTCCTGTTTTGATTTTTGTTGAAAATTCTTTGACTTTTGATATCTCAATTGTAGTTGTAGCATCATTGATGATACGGTGAACGAAATATTACTGTAATACTGCTACTACTGAGTACTATTGAAGTGATATCTAGCTAGTTTATTTGAAAAAAGAAATGGCAACATTATGACGATAATTCCTATACAACATTGCGTGATATTTTTTACAGCTTTGGGGATATAATTATGCTAATTTTTTGGACTGTCGGTCACTGTCAGGTGGAACTGAAACTATTCGTAGACGAGAGGAAAGTACGGACAAATACGGACGCAAAAATTATTTCCGAAAAAAGGGGTCGAAAATACAAATAGTCCGAACTAAATACGGACGTCTGGTAACCCTATCCTATATACTATAATTTAGTTGATAATGTTGACTCCCGGGGCCTGTCGTTCCCTTCACACAATCTATCTGAAAACTAAATTTTTGGTAAAAATGCCATTTAGGGAAATTATAATTTTTCTAAGACTAAATTTAGGGAATTTTGACAAATATGAGTGGCAGCACTGGATTTAAATTCAAGCATCATGGCCGTGAAAAGCAACAGTAAACAATCATCTGGCAGCAGAATTAGATCATGAGGGGTTCAGGTATTCACTCTGGACATACAAACCAGGTAAAGGTCCTTAGTCAGTTAACAAATATAACGCAAAAGAAGTTGGTCTATCGTTTTATTTTATTTACTAGTGTTCGAGAGTAATGTCATCCTTATAAAGGTAAATTTACACCGTACACCGTACAGGTACAGTACACTTTTACTGTCTTTAGTCTTTACCCCCTTATTCCTCGTTATCCCCATCATGTTAGGTTTCTTCTTCTATATCTTAAGGGCCCAGGATCAATTTATTGATCAATTTGGCTCCTATGCATGTAGATGGGATTTGCAATGTTTCTGTTCCTGGTGTTGAGGAAATCTCACAGATTTCCAGTGCCACTTTGTGAGGGAATCATGCACTAGGGGTTTGAAGGCTTGAGGCAATAGACTAGACACAAATGTGTCTAGTGTTGTGGCCTCAACCGCTCCTTTTGAAAGATTGTTCCAGTCCCGGATTGTCTTGGGCAGGAATGAGCAGTTCCTATACTGGCTTCTTGCTGGTATGAGCCTGAATTGCCTGTCATGGCCTCGTCGCTGTCTATGGGGGAGAGAGACGAGTTTCTGTTTAATAAACGTCCCTGTACCCCCCCCCCCGTTTTATCACGATGGTACCCGGTGTCCCGAAAGAGTCTCTCATGAAGCCTAAATGTCCCGTTTCTAAAACCAAACACATTTTCTGTTCTAGTTTTGACAACTTTACATTAGATAAGAAGGAGGTTTTAACAAAGACTGAGACAACTGACAACAGCCAAATATCCTCAATTTAAATTCAAGAATAGAGAAATTTAGTTAGTTGTCTTTTTATAAAATATGTATAAATAAATAAGTATTCACTGCAAAATTATTGTTTTCGTTTATAATATGCCTCAGAGTTTAAATTAAATTACAAAAGTGAAGGTAAATTTTAAAAGATTTCTAGGTCTCAAATTAGTAAAAACTAAAATGAGCATATTTCAATAAACAGTTTCCGACGGAGGCCCCCTGGACCCCTCTTTAGCTGGAGGGTATCCCCCCCCCCTCCAAACAACCCTCCTTGGGTGTGTCCCGTATTTTCCAGTTCATGATTTGGTCACCCTATGTTAGGTACCGGGTACTTATTTTTCTTTTACATTACATGGCCGGTTGTTTATTGATAAGATAAAAATTATTTTATTGATTGATACAAATAGATGGAAATGTTTTTATGACATTGCACATATTCTTTTCAGCAAATATAGGCTATAAATAATCCAAGACAAAAAAATTATCGCATAAAAATTTAAACTAAAACAATATTTAAAAAAATATCATCTCCACAAAAACGTTTGCGGAATATAAACACATGCTAACATGACACATGCAAATAGTATAGGAGGTGAAAAAATGGAGGCTTTAGCCAAACTTCCTTGACTTTCTTATCATTCTTATCATTTTCCATGTATCGACATGTTTTCAACATTGTGTGTGAGTGAACACCAGTGTCATTTGGATCAACAAAATTTTGTTGATGGATCTCAAAAGAGTGTTGGAGTGTTCGTATATAGTATATTTCGTGTCTGATCTGGTTTTTGTTGACATAAGCTGCCCATCTGTCCAATGCAATCGGTGAGTCTGGAAGGATACATCTTTCTATACACTCCTGTAAAGTGATCCTAGTCGGTCTGACACTTCCACAAGAAAACTGCATCCACTCTCTCTATATATATATGCCACCAAAAACTCAGTGGCCCTCTCTTCACTGTTCACATAAATAGAAAAATAACTGTTTAAATATCACAGTAACAACAGGATGTTGTCCATTGTGCATGAAACAACTTTATTGTGTCCCTCTAGATATGCTGCAAGAAGTGTTGATCTGCAGTCCCTCCCTTCCCTCTAATATCACTAAAACATGTGTGCTACAGTTACACACTGAGAAAAGCGTAAAAATAAAGAATAAAAATAAAATAAGGAAAACCTAACTTACAGTTACAGTCTAATTTTAATACAGAAACACCTTGACACACTTTATTGCAAGATCAAAATAAAATTCAAAAGATGAAATAGCAGTCAAAATCCATCTCTCAAAATGACCAGACCTAATAGCTGGGATAGCCTCATTGGAAATTATTATTTTAATTAACAGATAGCTGGGATAGCCTCATTGGAAATTATTATTTTAATTAACAGATAGCTGGGATAGCCTCATTGGAAATTATTATTTTAATTAACAGATAGCTGGGATAGCCTCATTGGAAATTATTATTTTAATTAACAGATAGCTGGGATAGCCTCATTGGAAATTATTATTTTAATTAACAGATAGCTGGGATAGCCTCATTGGAAATTATTATTTTAATTAACAGATAGCTGGGATAGCCTCATTGGAAATTATTATTTTAATTAACAGATAGCTGGGATAGCCTCATTGGAAATTATTATTTTAATTAACAGATAGCTGGGATAGCCTCATTGGGAATTATTATTTTAATTAACAGATAGCTGGGATAGCCTCATTGGGAATTATTATAATTAACAGTACTATGAAGTATTATTTTTATAGAGATCGATCAAATAATTCCATTTGAGTAGTAAAATATCAAAAAAGAAAAGTTAACTCTTGTAACAATTCACAACTAAACAAAAGGAGTTCACTTGTACACATAAATTATTTCTGGGTCAACAATGTCAGATTTTGTGCATGGCCCTTAACTTTTAATGTATTATTTATCACATCTGTCTGTAGACAATCTCTTTTTCATAGCTTGTGTATTAAATTTGCTACTTGCATTTGGGTGCTAAAATAACTTTTCATATTATTATTATAATGAAGAAGTATACGATTAAATATGAATGATTTATTGTACTAGGGCAAAAAGGGAGTGGATCGACTTATCGTGCAGCACCCCATGGCCTTGGGCCAATAGATTTTTGGTCTGGGTCAACGGCCATTACACGATATGAAAAAATAAGTAAATTATTGGTTAACTATAAACATAGTCAACAAAAGCTTTGAACAAAAGACAGGAAAGTTTTACTATTTTTGGAATTCAATTATAAAGTATTTAGTTGATATCCTCTCTGTCCAATATGAAGTGGTTTTGATCTCATAATATCTGCTCGCCTTGTAAGCTACTAAGAATAGCTGCAGTCAGAAAGGTGATGACAATGATTACATACTCTTTCATTTTGGTGCTAGCACTAGTAGCACCCAAAAGTATGTTCTACTTTTTGAATCAATCAAATACTTCCTTACTAGTAATCCTCATGCTCCACTTTCCTCAAACTCTAATTTCTATTTTTATTGTCCTTCAATTTTGAAAAGTTAGCAGTTACTAAAATTAATAGAGTCTACTCAGAGTCTACTGCATTTAACATCCAAGGGCTGGATGTCATTTTTCAAAATATTTTCTAACAAAAGGACTTGATTTGTTGCAACTTGCAAGCCCAGAGAATGATTGAAAATACCATTGAGAAATTGGAGGGCATTTCTTCTTCTCCTTCTATATTTTAAGGGCCCATGATCAATTTATTGATCATTCTGGCTCCTATAAGAATCTCACAAGAATCCTAAATTTTTCGGTAAAAAAATGTTTTAATTGAATGCCGAAACAAGAGCAGCTATAATTAGTTAATAAATTCTTTATTTTTCTTCTAAATTTTACAATTGACGTGGAATAGACCAAACGGATGATACAGAACACATTAAGACTTGTAAGAAATGTACCTTATGCTTCTGTATCGTACTAAAGGACAAACTTTAAAGCCTTGTTATTTATTTTTATATAAGTTTTTTTAAACTACTGCAGTATAAAAGAATCAAACATGTTACAAAGTCATGTTACATCAGTTACACAATTTTGTCTATATTTTTTTTATGTTCTATCTTAGCAGTTTTTCATAGAAAAGTAAACTGTACAGATAATTAGTTTGAAAAAAATATATTAATATCAACAAACAAGAAGCTAACTCAAAAATTGTCTTTTATGTTACGCCAGTTACAATTCCAAAATGTATTATTTTTCAATTATGATTAATATATATCGTTATGAATGCTATTTTTTTTCAGTCTACCAACGTAAGTCCCAAAACCATGTATAATTAATTAAATTAAGCACACTAAATGGGATTTTACATTTAAACTAAAAACAAAAATTATTTCTGAAAGTTGCGTCATTTTACCATGAAATTAACCATAACTAGCCGTATAGTAAAACTGCATTATCAATAATACATATTGTTAATATATTATTGGTATAGAATTAAATCAAAAGTATGTTACAGTTGACAAAAGCTGTATGAAATGAATATTTATTATAATTTCAATAAAAGTTTGTCACTATTTTCCTCTTTGAGAGAAAAAATTTATTACATGCTAGGCTATAACTGTATAGCAATACTTTATTGAAATTGAAGTGTAAAATTTGTCTTTCTGTTAATCAAAACAACCTTTCCACTTTAAAAGTAACTTTGTCCAAGAGGTAATGTAATTTACATTTGGTACCGTACCAATTAATTTAATTACTGAAATTCAGGTTGAAATTTTTTTTGAAAATCATCATAGATACTTGAAACTCTAGAACAAAGGATTTCATCCTGTTTTGGGACACCCCAAACCAAATAATTTATCCGCTCTGTACTTATATCATAGTATCTTTTTTTGTTTCATCACACACACATATCTACCTACATATACTTGGGCCTAATGACTCTTGTTGTAGGGTCAGTAGAAAACATTTACTCTAAATTTTGATGCATTTAAAAGGAATATGAAATCCATTAATTGATGAATGTAATAAATTTTAAAATGTATGTGTACAAAATAACATTGTAATAATTTTAAATCATAGTCAGAAAATTATTAATAAATTTTTCTGACCTTTGTAATTTATCTTTCTTTTTTTTTTTCTTTTTTTCAGATGACTATGGAAAAAGGGGCTGTTAAATTTATAAGAAGTGTAACTGTAAAGGATTCAGATGTAGAACCAGAGACAGATATTGACTATCATAAACTACTGAAGAATGAACTTTATAATGATGTTAAACCAGGGACAGACTCCGATGGTAACAGTTTAGCCGATGCTGAAATAAAACAGGAGGCAGGCTTTTACCATAATTGGAAGATGAAAATATGTTCTGATTTAACATTGCTCAATGATGGTGTTTCCAATAATTTAACAGTCAAGTTAAAAGAAAAACCTTTGGCCTCTTGTCAAGAACAGTTCTCCTTTACTTCATCTGATGAATATGTACTAGTGCAAAATCAGCACCATGTTGAAAATGTCATATCATCATGTGCTATTAGTTCAAAAAAAGATAAACATTTACCAGTACAAAAAACTATTGAAACAAACAATAACAAATGTAACATTTGTTCTGCTTCACTTGCAAGTAGATCTCATAGTGCTCAACACAGAAGGAACCATGATAAGAAGAAACCTTACAAATGTGAGATTTGCTCCGCTGCCTTTACAAATAGAGCAAATTTCACTATACACAAAAGACGACACACCGGTGAGAAACCTTACAAATGTGACATCTGTTCTACCGCTTTTGTTAGAAGTTCAGATTTAACTGTACACAAAAGACTACATACTGGCGAGAAACCTTACAAATGTGACATCTGCTCTATTTCTTTTGCAAGAAATTCATCCTTAACTTTACATAATAGTCAACATACTGGCCAGAAACCTTACAAATGTGACATCTGTTCTGCTAATTTTGTTAGGGGTTCAGATTTAAATCTTCACAAAAAACAGCACACTGGTGAGAAACCTAACAAATGTGACTTCTGCTCGGCTGCTTTTGTTCGAAGTTCAGATTTAACTGTACACAAAAGACGACACACTGGTGAGAAACCTTACAAATGTGACTTCTGCTCAGCTGCTTTTGCTAGAAGTTCAGCTTTAGCTGTACACAAAAGACGACATACTGGCGAGAAACCATATAAATGTGACATCTGCTGTGCTGTTTTTGCAAGTAGTTCAACTTTAGCTGTACACAAAATACTACATACTGGTGAGAAGCCTTATAAATGTGACATCTGCACTGTTTCTTTTGCAGGAAGTTCAGCTTTAACTGTACACAAAAGACAACACACCGGCGAGAAACCTTACATATGTGACATCTGTTCTACTGCTTTTGTTAGAGGTTCAGATTTAACTGTACACAAAAGACAACACACCGGCGAGAAACCTTACAAATGTGACATCTGCTCTGTTCCTTTTGCTAGAAGTTCAGCTTTAACTGTACACAAAAGACAACATTCTTAATTGTAATCCTACAAATGTGAAACTAGCCCTATTGCATACTTATAGTTTGAACAGTACTGCACACAAAAGACAACTTGTAGTAGAGAAAATAGCATAAGCCAAATCAACCTAGACAAATGATGTCTGCAACTTTTCTTTTAATAAAGTATAAGTAGCTGCAATCTCTTGTCTCAAAAAGCATCTGTTAATTTTTTTTTCAGATGTTCCTAATTATAATTTGAGCTATAAGACAGGACTAGAGATTTGGACCATGCAATTTGTGTCTTCTTAGATTTTGGACCATGCAATTTGTGTCTTCTTAGATTTGGACCATGCCATTTGTGTCTTCTTGTGAATTTTGTCACAGGTCAACATTAGCATTATCCTAAAGGCAGCATGAGATTTGTTATTTTCTTGTAAGACAGGGCCGCTAGGAGGGTGCGGGGCCTTGGGGAAATTGAATTTGCGAGGACGCTAACGTTATATATTCCACCGATAGGATATTAAGACACGTTATAGTCGTACTGGGGCCTTGCTGGTCAAAATGGGACGCTTCATAGCGGATATTTGTTCACTCGCTTAGTTTCCGAATATTGTGTTGACTGGATTAGGAACTATTAGTGTAGGCTTAGGTATATTATAAATATACTACAGCCACGCGCGGGGCGGTCGCCCACCCACTTTGCCATCCCCTACCCCCTGACCTGTGTAAGAGTTAAATGAACAAAATCTCAAGAGACAGTATTTACAACCACAAGTTGGGGCAGGCTAAGATGAGGTCAGGTTGGTCTTATCTTTTAGGTCTTTCAAAATATGTATAGACTTGAGTTGGGATAGTTAGATAATATCACAATCTAAATCTTTTTTTTTTTTTTTTGTAAGAATATGAATTACCTATTACTGTAGATTTGGATGTTCTGATATAACTATGGAAAAAGGCTGTATAGATAATTCTTTAAAGTGAGTAGAATTAGAATAGTATTACCTGTGTCTTTTTTAATCCAGTTTGTATGGGTCATAGGTGAAAATGGGTCATGACTTTAAGCATTTTTGTTGCTGTTGATAGGACCGCTCATTGAAAGCAATGTTTTTTATCATCAAGTTCATGAAGAATTTGAAATATTATGTTAGATAAACCTCTCAAGTCATTACTTTATAAAAACAATTTATTAAACCATTTTTGATTGTCTTTGATAGTTCATCTTTATTGCTTAGCATGTCATTTTGTGAAAGGTTTTTTTGGGGGTTTTTTCATGTTGTTTTACTGTGATAGTTTTTAACATTTCTTTAAATTTTTAGATAAATTCTTGAACCTATCTCAACTAGCTAAACTTTCCATCTATGAAGTACAGAAGTAAAAAAAAATACAGGGTAGTCAATGGCTACAAATACAGGTACCCGGTACACAATGGTCACAAATTCAGAGTAGCTAATAGTCACAAATACAGGTAGCTAATTGTCACAAAACAGGGTAGCCAATGGTCACAAATTCAGGGTAGCCATTGGTAACAGTGCAAATAGTTTTTAACCTGGTGCCTGAATTTGATAAATTCTCACTTCTAAACTACACTCGTTAAAAAAATGATATAGGCTTCTGAGAAAATTGTCTGGCTACTGAACTATATTTATTTTTACCTAACCCTGTATAACTATATTAACAACTTTAGATAAGAATAAATTAGCATTAGTATCGGTAGTGAGTGGAAATTTCATCATCATTGTTCAATGTAATTATGTTGTGATATTTGATTCATAGCTGTACACCATATCATTTTGAAATGGTTAAATTATTTGCCAGTGTTTTTTTTTACAGTAGCACGTGTCAAATAAATATTTCTCGAATAATGTTTTTCAATATGACCCAGTATGTCAGTGTAGAGATCTGTCAGAAGGATTAGAATGAAACCTGTATTGACACTGGATCCCCAGGACATGTTGTGTCCTGTCAAAATGTGTCAAAAAAATGTTATGTTTTACACATTAAAATGTGTTCTCCTTTTGACCTCTTTATTTTCTGTCAGATGCCTTTTTGGCCTCTTTATATTTTGTCAAATACCTTTTTGGCCTCTTTATATTCTGTCAATTGCCTTTTTGGCCTCTTTATATTCTGTCAAACGCCTTTTTAGTTAGCTCCTTTATTTTCCGTCAAATGCCTTTTTGGCCTCTTTATTTTCTGTCATGTGCCATTTTGACCCCTTTATTTTCTGTCAAATGCCGTTTTGGCCTCTTTATTTTTCTATCAAATGCCGTTTTGGCCTCTTTATTTTTCTATCAAATGCCGTTTTGCCCTTTATTTTATGTCAAATACCATTTTTGCCTCTTTATTTTTCTGTCAAATTCCATTTTGGCTCCTTTATTTTCTGTCAAATGCATTTTTGGCCCCTTTATTTTGTGTCAAATGCCGTTTTGGCCCTTTATTTTCTGTCAAATGTAGGTTAAGCTTTAATAATGATCATACAGAAAACAAAATGTGAACGTTTCGGCAATTGTCTTTATGAATGGCTCCAAAATATAAAGCGTCATTGTCATTGGTTCCCGCTTAGCTCCATGTACACTAGAGACCGACCGACGTGATTGAGACTTTCGACCGAAACTGAAAATAAACCGAAAGTTAACTTTTCTGTTTAGACAGAAACTACGCGAAAGGTATAAAATGGCAACTTTCGGCGCCGACACCGAAATTCGGTCGGTCTCTAATGTACACCTACCTATTTGAGCGAGTAATTCTAACAATTGATTACGTTTCGTTGTCATAATATGATCGACAAACTTCGCGTCTGGCCCCATTTCATCTTTCTCTTTATCTGGTGCAAGATGTCTTGGACCAGCCCCCCTAGCATTCTTATGGCTCATCTGGATAAAACCAAGAAAGGACTTTATAACACAGCACTCTTGTCGCTCAAAGTCCACGTACTCGGTACCTCACTACCTTTGACATCTGCTCACGGAGTGCTTGATCAGGAGTCTGGTCAAACATGCATAGCATAGTACTTGGCTCTACGAATGGGTCTCAGTCAATTCTGGCGAACAGTGGATGCCATCAGGTGGATGCCATCAGGTCAAGTGGGTGCCATCAGGTGGATGTCATCATCTTGATGAAGTGATTCTCTGTGTCTACTCAAAGCTAGATTTTGAATTGCAAGGAATTTTGTGCAGTAGAGTGTTCTTGTCAGATATCACGCCACTTCTGCTTTTCCTTTTCAACCTCTGATTGAAGTTCCATGTCCATAACTAAATTTCTCTCCACGATTGTATCGTGACGCTCCCCTAATCCCCTTCAAGAAATTGAATTGATTGTGGTCCCTCCAGATAAGACGCCGCTAGTTTGGAAGAAAAAAAAATACCCGGTACATATAAATGCGTTTTTGACGCCCCTTTCAAGTGGCGCCCGGGGTACGCGACTGGTCAGACGACCGTTTGCCCAAAAGAATATTTTATGTCGAACTCAAGCATACGGTTCGCTGTGGAACGCAAGAAACGTTTTAAAGACAAGCTAAAAGCATCTTTGAAAGCATTTCACATTGACCCGGACATTTGGGAACAGTCAGCAAGTGCACTGCTCCCTAGACAAAGGTTTCATGCACCACGGGGCAAGCTAAACAGCTGCTTCAGAAAAGACAAGCCAGAAATGCCCGAGTTAACCCTGTACTACCCATCTGCTTCAGAAAAGACAAGCCAGAAATGCCCGAGTTAACCCTGTACCACGCATCTGCTTCAGAAAAGACAAGCCAGAAATGCCCGAGTTAACCCTGTACCACGCATCTGCTTCAGAAAAGACAAGCCAGAAATGCCGGAGTTAACCCATGCAGTACCACCCATCCCCTGCACCTTCTCAAGAACATTTCGTGCCAGAATCGGCCTGATCAGCCATCTGCGCACCCACAAACATATTCAGCCTCAGCACCAATGCAAAAGGTTAAAATTGTCAAGATCGAATTTCGACGGACGAACTAACACTAACATGTGGTGTATTCTGTGTACAATCATTGAGAAATTTTCTAAGCATGTTTCACCTTTTCAACATTTTTTACCTTGGCCCGGTCCTTTTTACATACCGTACCGGTACATGCTTCCTCCACAGCCAGTATCAGCGGTCTGAGATTTGTCAATTATTGTTTTGTCGCATAGATATGCATTTTATTTTTCAAATAAAGTTCGTCTTTAAGTCATTGACCGTCCTAGAATTCTTCTTGCTATTTAAAGCCACGCCACACCCGAGTCCACTAGCTTTAGCCGCGTACCCCGAGTTGGAGAACGCTTTCTAGTTCAAACCTCATGCAATTTAGCAAAGGTGATTAGAGATTTTTAACAAATTATTTTAAAACGTTAATAAGTAGTTTAAGGCACTGGGCATTTCTTTCATGTTCTTTTGGCATAATTGGATTCATGCTTTCAAAAACTTTTTGACAAACAGCGAATACTTGACTAGCATTAAATACATGAAATAATTTTCGTATTTTGATTTGTCTTGTGAAAATTCATTAGGTAAGCTTTCTTTTTTTTTTTTTATTTCTTTTTTTTATACGGTACTTATTACTTAAAGACCTCAAAAAATCTGCAGTGAACGATACTAATTCCCTTTGATAGACCAACACCGGCCTTTAGGGTGTGCGAGCTGTGCCCACGCACAGGGTGCCATGGCCACAGGGGCGCCCAGTAAATATTTAAATTCTCTTAGTTTATTATAGTGAAGCACTGCTGGAAACAGTCTAAATTAATGTGCATGTTAAAAGGCTTATGGTTAGCTACATGTATAGTATCATAGTACGTGCTCCACAGTGTGGTTAGCTACATGTATAGCATCATAACACGTGCTCCATAGCCTATGCCGTCATCGGAAAAAGAGTGGAGCGATACAGTATGATACAGGGACAGAGAATGGGACGCCGAACGGGGGCTTCGCATTTGTGATTGTTTTGTTTTTTTAAGAATCTCCTTTAGCGGTATTTATCGCGAATTTCGTTTCGTGAAATCGGGGTCATCATATTTCTGTCATAAACCCCTTGAAAAACAGGGAAAACTTTTTTTTTGGGGGGGGTTGGGGCTGAAAATATAATAGAATGTTTTTGTCATCAGCAACGAGTCTACGTGCCAAGTTTCAGCTCGATACGTTGACGGGAAGTGGGTGAATTAGCCGTCCGAAGGTGTTGCCCTACCGCACAAAAGCGAAGTTAATAATATAGAGGATTTTTTTAAAGATAAGGAACTATTTGTGACTTAACAGTGTGGTAGGGAAAAAAATGGTTTTAACAATGAGTAACCTACCTGGCGAAGAAAAGAGACATACGGGAAATTATAATGTGTCCAGTGGAACTGCACCTTGAAAGGTAAATATCTCTAACTCTTAGAAACAAAGTGACCTCCCGCCCTATTAGAAACGCTGGATTTTAAATGTAGGCCCAAAAGTTAAAGTAAACAAAAGAATTGTACCTTAATAAATGGTAAATTTATATGAATGTACTAATGTACCTACTACCATTTTATACTTACCTAACTAGAAATTCATATCCTGAGTATGGTCATGTTTACAATTTGATCTTATTACTGTATTTACCTATCACAATGAAAAACACATTAACAGTTGATACCAGTGCCCGGTACCCAAAGAGCAGCGTCGGCGTATATAATCGGACCACTGTCTTAATCAAAACTCCAGTTGAGACCAACGTGTTAAGTAACCCATTCAAGTCTAACTCAAAAGCTTTCCACCGCTGTTTGAAGCGCACGGCTATTTATTACAGCACGTCAAAACATGAAAGGGGGCGTAAACCATGCTCGAGTTGCTCCACTTGTCCATGCTAATAATAGATTGTGTCCCACACACACAAATGGGGAAATGACTACAAATATTTTATTGGGAGATAGTAGGCTACCAGACATTGGGAAATTTCCCAAGATCTTGGGAAAATAAAAAAAGAAAGAAAGAAAATAAAAGGAACATTTTTTTTTTAAAACCGGTACAAGAAAAAATACATCCATTTGATTTGTTTCACTAGTTGTTGGTATGGAAATCTTCACAAGGATCATAATAAATAAGAAATATTCTTAAATTAAAGTTAATATTGACATTGTATTAAAAAGTTATAAATTAATATATATATATATATTGCTTTAAAGATTTAGTATTTACTTCCATGTGTTGATTGTTGATCAAATTGACCATGTACAGCATAGGGCATATTGACCATTTACAACATAGGGCATATTGATCATGTACATCATAGGGCAGTGGTTCTCAACCTTTCTAATTCCACGACCTTTTAATACATTTCCTTATATTGTAGTGACCCCCAACCACAAACTTATTTTCTTTGCTACTTCATAACTGTAGAGCATATCTGTTTTCCGATGTTCTTAGGCGACCGCTGAGAAAGGGTCGCTCGATCCCCTGTGGGTACAGGTTGAGAAGCGCTGTCCTAGAGCATTCTCAACAATAAATAAACTCATTACATGTATAATTCTTTAAATTTCCAATATTTTTAGACTATTAATGTCATAGACTTTGTCAACACACGGTAGGTTCGTTGAATCACGTGTTCCTTGCTCCACCATAACAACACTGCAATACACATGAGTCTAGGGGCGGGGACTGGGGAAAACCAAACACTAGCAAAATAAAAGAAGAAATGGCTAAAAGTTAAATGGTGTAATCAACGTTTAAACTTGGAATGGCTAAAGGGTCCTGATTTAAAGATTAGCCACAGCACGACCAAGACAACGATGATTATGATTGAAAATCTTGCAAATTGCCAATGAAAACTGCAAATAATGAAATAGGTCCTCATAAAAATGAGATGAAGACGCGGCGAAACATAAACATAATGTTGAAAGTGCAAAGTTTACACATACCTATTGATGAAGGATTTAATGTTTAGCTCTGAATTTATGTCCACGGAACTCTACCAATGACGTCATTGTATTTATTACTAACAGTCGTCTGCCTGACACTAGATCTGATTCTGATAGACTACGTTGCTACAACCAAGTACTGGCATATGTGCAACGGTTTGGGAAACGATGCGGCTATCCTAACGGCTCCTAGCGGGTGCCAGGGCAGCCTTGAAACTCTGGATTGATGTCGAGTCCACGGCGGCATTGTCCAGTTGGTGCCAAGCAATTGTTGTTCGTGGCAAGAATGATTGTTTATATTGGACCGTGTTACACCGAGGCACAGTGAAGCATTCATCATTGTTCCGGATGTAACTGCTCATGGAGTTGTCAGAGATGAAGTCAGTGTTTATTGAGCGTTTGGCTCTGATTAAGCGACCTGGCTTCTGTGGGTGAGATACGTGTTAGGTGGAATGGAATTATCTTTATTATTATATAATCTTCAACTCTAGTATGCCGTTGTCATCTGTAATGGATGTCTCCGATACCCGGTATACTAGTGTTGTTATTCTAATGTAAATAAGCTGTCTTCGTCTCAATCGGTCACAAATGACTTTACTAATTATGATTATGAATTAATAGTGACATAGATCATTTTATTGAAAAACCCACACCAAAACAAGTGGATGTACCAATGGCCAAGACTGAGTTATTTATTGCTGGATCATTTTCCGAAAATAAAAATCAACATACTAAAACTTTCATCCATGCTGATTATTTTCTTGAAGTTTGTCGAATAGTCAAGTAGATGACGTCACATTGTCAATTTGAAAAAATGCCTTTAGTATACCATTCAATTTGGGGGAAGCATTTGATGAAAATTTTAACCAATAGTAGAACTATGCACCTCTGTTACAGATTTCGGGGATAGTTTTTAACCGAGCATTATCAGGTAAGGTTAAATGGCGTAGCTGACCCATTTTTTTTTAATGTTCACATAATCATATTTTTTTCATAAAAAAACAAATTGTATATCGGTAATTTCTTTGTTGTTAACCTTGTAAAAAATAGTCGGATTAAATAACTTGCAATCAATTACTATAAATTGTGTTTCTTATGTATTACTTCAAGCTATTATGGAATAAATTAATTAAAAAACCAATTTTTTTGCGTCTATAAATATCAAACTCTCTCTCTATATATTTTAATTACATTGGGAAATATCGGGAATGGATTTTTTCTTGATCCAAATCTTGGGAATTTTTTAAAAAGTGAGTGGCACCCCTGAGAGATGGTGTACCTATGAATGTGGTTATCTAAATACACAAAGAGATAACCACAAGATAGCGATTGATTAGAAACTTTGAATAAGTGAAATAGTTAGATGTAACCTACCACACAAACTGTATAAATACAATGAAAGAATAGTGAATACTTTATTAACGCATTACTTACTACTACACTCATTACAGTGTGCAAATAAGACTGGTATCTAAAAACAAGATCTATAATAATGTGCTCTTCTACAGTACCCAGTGCTCAGGGGCGTAGCACCTTGGAGGATCCCGGACCCCCCTACCCCCCTTGCTGTCGCCAAAAATGTTTACGTTCTATAAAGCATAAGAGTATGTAGTGCTCAAGGATGGTTGGACCCCCTCCCCCCGTTAGAAGTCACATACTTGAAATACACCCCTGCCAAGGCTATTAATTTGAAGAAAGCATACCGGTACCGATACTAAACAAAATAAAAATGAACCCATGTCACAAGGATACACATGAAAGCCATGGCACAGATTCAATCATGGGCGTCTACAGAAGTGGCAGGGGATCGAAGCAGATTCTTGCGATCTAAGTTTGTGGAGAAAAAAAAAGGGGGGGGGGGGTAAAATACAAGATACGACACAAGATATGCCCACGAAGCAGCATTATCTATCTTTACAAGAAATGGTTTCCCTGAAATGATTTTATGGGTCGTTCACAAATTAGTTCACGCAAGAAATCACAAAGTGTCACAAATTATTTAAACACCCCCCCCCCCCCACTTAGTGTCATGTCACACCTAAAAAAAAAAATTCAAAACATACATAAAATTTTCATAACTTAACTAAAATTTTATTTTATTCTTTAAAATTTTCCCATAATGGATTAAGATGTAGTATTGTTAGAAATCTGTGACGCGAAACAACGAAGTCATCCTCGCGCCGAATGTAAAATGGCCACAGCAGTTTTTGCGCAAAAGGTGTAAGCAACTGAGGTTCACCTTTACCTACAATACCTGAGGCAATTTCGACCTCAAATTAATGTTTTAAAAATTAATTGAATAAAGATTTGTCAACATTGGAAAATTTGAGATTTAAAAAAATAATAATAATATTTTTTTAAAAAGAAATTGTGCCCCCTGTCACAAATTCTAGACCCGAGCGTGTCGTAATTTGCAGAGGACCCCATATCAGATAATGGTCCACAGTTTTATGCTGAGCTATACGTACCGGAACAAGTGCTCGTGGGCGAGACTGAGAACTCCTTAACAGTAGGCCTACTGGTCGGTCATCAATCAGACTACAGGGACCGGTATCCACAATCGAACGGTATGGTTGAAAGGTTAAATGTAGATAGTCTAAACTGAAATGAACTCTGCATAGCAGACCTTTGTGGTAAGTTTCACCTGATAGAGCTTTGTATTGTAAGACATACTTATTTTATGTACATATTTCGGTAGACAAAAAAAGTTATTCGAATTTTACATTTGCTGAAATTTTACTAAATTTGAAAAAATGTCATTTTTAAGGTCCTATATTTTCTAAAATAATCAACAGAGAAGTCCAGTTTAAATTTTGAGCCCATTTATTGATTTTAAGCAGCAAGAACCATTTCATTCACAAGCTGTAAATAATAATTTTTTAAAATAAAAATTACTTTTAGTCACTTTTATGTTCCACCCGAAGCAGTCATGTCAAACTAGGCACAATTTCAAGGAATCGTAAAGACTTTTGTCATTGACCTACCGGTACCGGTACGATAATTTATCAAATGAAAGATCATTTTAAGCAGCACAACATGCACATTGACTTAATGATACCGGTATCAGGAAACACGTATAGTTTATAGCACTGAAATAAGTGAAATAAGTTTTTAAAAAGTACCCACTGAACAATTCTTTAGAAAATAAAGGTTTAAAAAATGTGGATTTAATTTTAATACATATCACATAATTGGATCAAAATCAAAAGGAAAATGAAGTCAGATGTGTGAACTCATAACTAAAAGATTAATACTGATTTTTTTTTAATGATCAATGCAGAGTATCATGAAAATATATAATAACAATTTTGCCTAAATTTTAGTTAAATTGTTTGTGAAACGCCCAGTCTATCTATTAGAGCAAGGGTCTTAAACTCAAATCATCCGGGGGCCGCAGGAAGCAGAGTCTCAGTGAGACTAGGCCGCATCAAGTATTGCACACAAAAAATCGATTACAAATTCAATAAACAACCGTTACAAGCTGCTCAACCTTAAGTAATAACAAATATAGACATTAAGGGTTCTCAAGAACTAGGCTTCACTTTCTTCCTCCGACTGCTTGCTTGTTGCCAAGAGACCTGACAGCACACGTGACCAAGCTGATAGGTTCGTAAACATTAGCGGCAATTTTAATAGGGATTCTTTGATACTGTGTCAGATTGCTACGATTTACACTATTATGGTTGTGCATTACCCACTGACTGACTTTTTACAATTTTGAAATATGTATAGATAATATTGGAAGCGTGTTTTCTCCAAACCGCACTTTGATCATGTTTGTCGCATAAAATGCTACAAATTAAAAACTTTTTGTCAGATTTAAAAAACGGGTTTTTCCATTATAATCAACGTCCAGATCTATACAAACATAAATAAAAATCAGAATTAGTCTAGTCGGTGAGGTTCGACGGAAACCTTCGCGGAGGGTCACGTTATAGATATGAGAGTGGGGAAAACGAGCGGGCCGCATTAACTCTAAACTTTTCTGTCATGTCGCGGGCCGCAAAATATCGTCTTGTGGGCTGCAAATGGCCCGTGGGCCGCGAGTTTGAGACCCCTGTTCTAGAGAGTGACAGTCTGGGTCCATGTCATTAAGACTGATATTGAATGGGACACTAATCAACGTTACGAAATATCGCTAATGATTAGCCTGAAAACTGGCTGGTCAGAATATTAGCACATTTAGTTAATACATGCTGTCCGCGGAAGCGGGGCGTCTTCGAGGAAACTTTGGGGCGTCCGCATGGGGTTTTGCCTCTTCGGGGCTTGGCAGACTAGTAGGGAGGTTTTCCTCCCGAAGCCAAAAACCCCGGCTACTTGCATGACTCCCAACGCAACGGAAGTAACGCAATAACATGATGACTTGTTGCCGATAATGGATATGAGGTCTGGGTGGCGGTCAAAACCCTTGTCGATGATTTTAGCTACGCGGCCCTGAGAAAGCCGCCCCTAGGCGACCGTTTCGTCCCAGCTTTTGTCCCGATCGGACAACTCTCTGGATGGTGAGGGAAGGTAACGCAACACCTTTCCCCCGGAGAGGAAGCAAAGTCGTTCAGACGCAAGGAGAGTGGACTGCGAACGCTTTAAACGGACTTCCCCCAGGCCAGCAAGGGGAGGAGGTCCCCGGCGTGCTTCCGCACGGTCTGGCGGTGGGGAGACCCGGCGCCGACCCGTGTGGGGATGTGCCGTGGGGGTTTTATGTTCTCGCGCTCGACGACCCACCGACGCCATCTCCAAATAACGTTATTAGTTAATACAAGAGAAGTCAAAAGTTGGCCTCTCTTTGACTGTAGATTCTATATAAGATAAGGCTAATGACTAGGGCGGTATGTTTGCGGTCATGTTGCAGGTATGGAACATGGACAAGGTTCAAGACTCATGTGCGGTCAAGATAAATGGTATTGATAGGGTAGATTAGGAATACGATATTTTGAGAATTAGAGGAAAGTAACGTGAGTAACAATAATAACATCGCTGTTCGATGGGATTTGCAAAATCTGTAACATCTTCTATTTTGCATACAAATCATTTTGAAATAGCAAGTTCAACAGCACCGACAATGCATAAGAAATTACCACCTGCACCTCAACAAAAGGGATTCGACTAATACAATTAGCTGCCAGGAGACAGAGGGAGCAGGGTTTCTTTCAGGCATATCTCGGAGGGTACTTCCCCCCCCCCCCGTTAAAGTCAAGCCCCCACCCCCCGAGCAAAATGTGTACAACTGTATAAAGATTATTTTCTTTTAAAATTAAAAACGACTAAATTGTCTTTTTTAAAACAATTTTAAAAAGATTAGCATCTTGTGCCTTTAGCTTTAACCGAGTACAATTAGTGGAATCTATGAAATATCGCTACTCTCGATACATTTGATACTATGTATATTTAAGGTTAATCTTGTTAAATGCGTATAGTGAGTATTCTATTATAAATATCGCACTGGCCGCTCCAGATCTTACTTCCTGTAGTTCGCATAATATAATATTGGTATGTTTATTCATTTCTTTTTTCAACTTCACAAGTTATTAAAATTGTTAATCTTATGAAGTTGAAAAAACACTGTATTTAATTACCTTTACATCAATATAAAGCTCTACAATTTTATTAATAGTTCTTGCTAAGTATGAAACATGCGCAATCTATTTAAATATATATATATATACTGGTGTATATATATATATTTCATCGTAAAGTAAAAGCACGACTTTTAAAGTAGGGCCTACTTCGTTAATTATAAATTGTATGATGGCATTAGTCTTTACAAAAAATTTAATAAATCTAATCGATTCCATGTGTGTTGCGTTATAAGAAAGGGTTTTTTTTCAAAAAAAGAGAGAGATTTAAAAAAAAAAAAAAAAAGAATTGAAGGGCTCATACAAAAAGTGCACATTTCATCACTTATTATATCGAAAGCTTTTGTGATACTTCGTTAATTATAAATTGTATGATGGCATTAGTCTTTACAAAAAATTTAATAAATCTAATCGATTCCATGTGTGTTGCGTTATAAGAAAGGGTTTTTTTTCAAAAAAAGAGAGAAATTTAAAAAAAAAAAAAAAAAGAATTGAAGGGCTCATACAAAAAGTGCACATTTCATCACTTATTATATCGAAAGCTTTTGTGTTTTCTTTTAATGTGCTACTTTTGTAACAATGTTTCCTGCACACCGTAACAGTAATAACACTGTTATTAACAGAGGTTAAAAAAATACGTAGCCTATATTTTTTTATGTCCCACCTATTTGCACGAATTTAAAAAAAAAAAAAAAATTATTTCTGTTTCTATATCTATCAGAAAGATCTATATTTATATATATAAAAAAAAATTCTTGCGACCAAGCATCTCCATTGTCAATTCTAAAAAAAAAAATTGTTGGTAGTTTAACAGTTTTATAAAAAATTCTTCTTCTTAATTTGTTCAATTTAATATAAATTCTGTGTCTTTGGTTTTTAAAAAAAAAATGTGTTTTTATATTTTAAAGAATATCTCAGAGGCAATTTGTAATTTATGCTTTAAAAAATAATATTTTGAAATTACAAATATCGTAATTTAAAACACTTTAATCAACCCATTAATGGTACCGGTAATTATATTCTTTTTTTGCGCTGCATACGATTTCCCTTAGATAAAATTACACATTATTGATAAATATATAACGTCTTTTGTAAACAACTCATGTGTTCTTAAAATAGCTATGCCGTTCATATACGATTCATAAAAAATAAATTGTATAAAACCATACACAGCATGACACAGGTGTTTTTTTGTTTTGTTTTCATTTTGACTCTGGTAAAATTTGAAAATATTTAGGAAAGGTAGACTAATTATTATAAATAAGGGATCGTCCATTACTATGTCAACAATTTTTGCGAAATTTTTGCCCCCCCCCCTGTCAAACTTTCAGAGTTTCCCCCCCCCTTTTTTTTTATTATGTCAACATTTATAAATATTTATAAATACCGGTACATTTTACTTTGTGATGATCTATTTTAATGACACGTTGATGGTAGGAAAAACATTTCGTTACAGCTTGTTAATCAACCAGCAAAAAAGTTTTTACACTTAAATTTTATAATGGAGAATCAATTGAAAGGTTGTTAAAGACTAAATATCATTGTTTGTGAAAGTATAAATATGATTATTGTCAGTATAGCTGATAATTATAGTATAGACTCTAGTTGCTATCATCTTCCCATGGAGTAGCCAGATGTTGCTCTGTCGTAACAGTGGGAATCAGGGACATCATTTGGATATGACATGGGGGCATCAGGCCTACCCCCTCCCCCTGAATTTGCAGGTTATATTTAAACTGCTATTAGTAATACCGTACTATTACTGTGGCGCCCCCAGTAATAAACAACCTAACAAGCCGACCAAGTTTTGGTTCCCCCCACCCCCCATAAAAATCCCTGACATGACGCCCCTGATGGAGCCTTTATTTTATTGTTTGTTACTCAACAAGTCACTTTCCCGTCCCCTAATTCTCAAAATATCCTATTATCTTGACTACACATGGCACTTGTGGGGCTATTAACACTCATTTTTTTTAAAGCCAATTTTGATTAATTTAAAATTGAATGTCCAAGAGAAACATGATTGTTGACGTCAACTAATCTAAACCTCCCTCGTCAACATTACTGCTGTCAAACGTACCCCCCCCCTATTTTTGACATAATGGATGGCCCCTAAAGCTGCTTTTCTTTCCCTGTGCGTTGTGCGTTGGTGCAGTGCTTCTTAGTGATGGAAAGGGAACACTTATGTTAAAAAAAAATTGTGTTGACAATTCAATCCCCAGATCAAGATACATCGGCGTCCTCAACAGTAGAGGACACACAAAGCTAATTTTATATACTGATACCAAGATGTCACATGTTGTCATGGAGTTGATTATGGTCAATGGTATTGTAATAAATCAAACAGGCAGTCAAACATCTACATCATCTTCCACAGGCCATCCTTTAACATATTCATTTATTTGAATGGTTATGACATTTGAAAAATATTACTAAGAAAGTATCCTTTGACCTGGTTACCTGTCATGCAGTCTTTATCACCAGTTCCCTTTACTATGTATACAACAAAGCTACCAACACCATAAACGCCAAGTCAAAGTTATTTTCATCACAGGTTGCAAAAGGTCTGAAAAATTCAGTTCCAGTTTGCCTGCTTGACTTCCCAGTTTGGTTATTCCATTATCTGTTAACATTGTAACGCAAATCCAGATTTTACCCAGGCACCATGTAGCTTATCTTTTAGCTATAAGGGTATAGTAGCACCAACTAATAAAAGACAGCAAGGACTACACACGTTTGAATTACCAGTCTGCTGGAAATGCTATAGCTGTCACTTGTTCTAACTTTCATGAACCTTTACAGAAGGGGTATTGTCTCAAACAAGATATTTTTCTGCTGCTCAACACATTCACATTATCAGAAACCCATTTTCACCCTATTGATTTATACGATTTTACAATGATTATGGCAAAGGGTTCACACACCTTTCCTCAACATGACAGTTATTTGAAACAATACAAAGTATAAAAGTGTTCAATCAATTTTATTCCAAAATGCCTCCAGTAAACCAAACATTTAGGCAGAGACTGGCTCCTTATCTTTGAGCAAAAGCTCCTTCTTAAGGGGTCCCATGAAGGTACGCTTTTCTTCGGCAGTCTGGAAGCGGCCATGTCCCCATTTACTGGATGTATCAATAAACTTCAGTGTAATCTTCTCCATGAGACGTCGACGGAAGTTGGTCATCAAAGACTTCAGAAAAAATAATAATATATAATTATAACAAGTGCACCAGAGCCTGAAAATAGCAAGTTTACTTAAAAAATAACTAAAGCTCATATCAGAAGGAAGGCAACATGGAAACAATCCTCAGCTTCAATTAGGATACCCCTTGCGAGGGTAATACCATGCTTTTTCATCATAAATGCATGAGCTACTACATACAGTACCGTAACATTATTAAACACTGTGCAAACAGTAATTTACCATACTTCTTTCAGTGAATAGCCTTAAAGGTGCAATTGCCTAGGCATGTATGTCACAACTTACCATTTTTATTCTAAAACATTTAAAGAGACTGAAAATGTACAAATACATAAATCACATAAAGATGAGCCTCTTACCTTTCTGAGGGTAATAACCCTCTTTCGTGGACCTACAACACAGCCACGAATCATCAGGTAGTCATTTCTGACATCTCCATAATGAGGAAAGCCACCAAGTGGCGTGATAGTCTTTTCAGTTGGGTCAAATTCAGTGGCAGCGTTGTTTTTGATGACTTTACCATCCTTAGTGTGGATACCAGCACCAATACGATAAATCTGTTGGATAAAATATGTGAGAAGTGCTTTTAGTCAAATCATACCCCAATACTACCTTTTAAAAAAATTCTTAAATGGGAGTTGGCCACAATAATGAAACTAAATTAAGACATAAGAATATGAATAAAAGGACAAACTACTTGTAAATTAAATGAATATCAACAACAAAAAAAAAAACACAAACCCACCTTCTTATTGATCTCAGTACGGTGATGATAACCCTTCTGACCAGCTCTTGCAACGGAGTACTGAACTCTGCTAGGATGCCATGCACCAATACAAGCAACTTTTCTCAAACCCTTGTGGGTCTTGCGAGGTAGTTTCTTTGTATGCCAACGAGAGGTTACACCTGAAAAAGAGAATGATGATTATTCAGTCTTAAATTTTAGACAATTACTTTTAACTACTTTCATTGGATCCATACTGATAGTACTTTCCGGTACTATAAATTGCTATAAATAATTATAAGTTTGATGAAGTCATAATCTGACTACATCAAAACTACTCAACCTACCTTTGACACCACGACCCTTTGTCACACCAATACAATCAATCAGTTCATCCTGGTTGAAGACTGAAGCAACATCAATGGGTTTTTCAAAGTGTTTAATGGCCCAATCAACTTTCTGGGAAATACTTCCACCATTTAGCTGTATTTCCATAAGATGCGCCTTCTTTTGACGTTTGCGCAGCAATTTGGTCTGGGGGGAAAAAAGATGGTTGGGTAAAATATATTTAAAAAGCAAAACATTTTGCAAGCTTGAAAAGAAAAATATAAATTATATTTAATACACAACTTTGAGTAATGGTACCTGAGTGTGAGCAAGAATCCTGACAACTTTGCAGTATTTCTTGATCTTCTTCAAATCAGTGTCAATGTCCTTCTTGCCAGTTGCATCAGCCCATTTCTTGGCATACTGTGTGAATGCCTTCTTTTTAGAACTTGACCTAATTTGTAATGAGCAATTAGGTCATATTGCAGCAGGAATGAATAGTTATATACATATAAAAAAGCAAAGCACAGAGCACTAAATCAACATGATCTTTTTCCAATTACTATCTTCCAGTAACTTAAGTGAAATTAAGGATTTCAACATAAGAATTCCATATTTAAAAATGTTTTGAAACCCCCAAAATCTCACCTGTGTTTGAAGTTTTGTTTCAATCATGCCCATGTAACACCAGGACCATGTCAGATTAGACCTAAAGTATTAAATCTCATCATGAAACAATCATGAGCGGAGATAACCCTGAACATGTACAACCAAATAGCTCATCAGTATTTGCACACAAGATGCACAATTGACACTGAGCGGAGCTGGTAATTTATGATCAGGGAGGATATCAAGTAAAATTATATTAATTATCTTTAAAAAAAAAAAAAAAAAAACTCCTAGGCATATGAAATAGGCTACTTTCAAAAGCACCAAAGGAGTAACAATCTCATAATATTAAAATAATTCTCAACAAACATTACCAGTTTTTATAGAATCTACGTCTGCATTCTTCACTAAGGTGCTCAGCAAAAACAGTTCTGAAGGAGCGAAGCCCTGTAGGTGTCTCAATGTAGCCTACTACACCAACGCAGACCATGGGTGGTGCTTCAATAATAGTTACAGCTTCCACTACTTCTTTCTTGTTGGTTTCTAAAATACATTAAAATTCAACTGAAATAAATGCATAACCAGGGACCTCAACTTCCTACACAGAAACAGTAGCATTTTATTTGTCATGAAAAACAAGTGCAGATTTTTTAATGAAACGCATCAGAGAGATATATTTTTAACTAAAAGATGATTCATTATTAATCATTAAACTAAGTCTGATGGAAACTTACTGGAGCCTGGGCGGTCAACTTCTCTAACAATGTGGGTCATGCCAGCTTTGTAGCCTATGAAGGCAGTCAAATGCACAGGCTTAGTTTTGTCATCTTTAGGGAAAGCCTTTACCTTACCCCTATGACGGGTACTTCTCTTTTTGGGGAGAAATCCCTTAGAGCCATGTCTCGGAGCTGAAAATTTCCTGTGAGACTAAAACAAAACAAAATCGGAAATAATTATTGCAAATGAATAAATAATAACACAATCAGTCATTCTTTGTGTAAATTAACTTTAAACAAAATATGTTAACCTAGGAAATTCCAAGGATGTTTCATGATTTTGAAATCATAAAGTCATCTACGCTAGGACAACCTACCATCTTGACGACAAACGTGGAAAAAGGAAGCGGAACAGTATTTTTCAAGTGAAGCCAGTTTTCTACTGTACATAAATGCAGAGGTGATGCCTGGTTGTAAAAAAGGAAGCCAAATCTATTTTTTTTTACATTACAGTCCTAAATTAGAATTTCTATTGTGCAAAATATATATTGAAAATGTTTTAATAAAACTAAACAGTACATGATATTATGATTTTGAATGCATTTGGAAAAACGTAAAAAAAATTAAATTATATTAGACTTATCTCATAGTTCAGGATTATGTAGTAAGGGTTTTTTGGTATAAGTAGGGTCTTATAATTATAAGAGTTCTAGTATTAATTGAGGAGCCCACTTACAAAAGGTACTCAGTCAAACCAAACTCATTTTTCAGGAAAGTGAATTTTGTGTTACAACTAAACTAGCATTTTGAAGGTTACTCTACATTTTCTATTTAAAATAAAGGCATTTAGAGCCTTCTGAACGTTAAGATGAGAGATTAAAAATGTGAATTTTAGGCAATAGATTAAGAAAAGGGCACTAACAATTTTTTTTCAAAAAAACGGACTTAGTACCATTTGCAACTGGGCTCCTCAATTGTAAGGCCAGTAAGGGGAAAGGAGACTCGCAAGTTTGTGATTTATATCCAGATCAGCATTTAGTAAAACTAGGTCACTGAAGGGTGTGTGCATTTAATGAGTAGGCCTATAGCATTGTCTCAAAGCCCAATTAATTACATATGTAGCAATTTCAGTCAATAGAAGCTTTAATTTTTTAAAATAATAATTATTTTTATTTTGCACATCCACTTTAAGCTATTTAAATATCACACACAATACGTTTCTGTCAAGATTTTTTACTGTCATCAGTTAATTATTCGGGAGTGTTATTATACAATGAAAATCCATAAATCATACCGATAGCCTTTTCATCACTATGTGAATTTTGACTTTAAATTAATTTTATGTCTAAATATTTTTTTAAAAAATCGATCAATAAGATTTCAAAAGTTCATTCATGTATCTTACGGGTATAGAGTCTAATATGATTCTACAATATGCTTAAAAATATGTTTGTTTGTACCGCATACATTTCTACATGGATTAATTGATCTTGATCAAATTGGAATATAAAGCCTAGTTTTTCACTTCAATATCCAGAACAAAATGGGTTTGGGCCCTTTTTTAAACTTTAATAAGAAACGTCTATAGTTAGCTCATTTGTTATTTATTTTTTATTATTGAAATAATGACTACATAAATGAGCCACTTTTACAAGTTTAAGTTTAATATATTTTTTTCAAGTTTCTTGAAGTTTTTTTTAGGACGTTCGATTTTTAAAAAAAGAGTTTTATGATTATATAAATGTCATTGTTAGTATTCTTATGTTTCTAAAAGTTTCTATGAATTTCGTCAAATGTTATTAAATTAGATTTAAAGATATTTTTGAAGTTTCTAGAAAGTTTCAAATGTGTGGAAGGCTCTACAATGTATTTTCCTTACCGTATAATAAAAGAAGGCTTATAGTGCATCTATCTCGGGTTTAACTAAAATGACCTCATGTGGACTGAGGATCCTATTTTATTTTAATTAATAATTAATTTGACATTGGTGAATACATTTTTGTAAAATAAAAAATCTGTTAAAAGATAGATAATTTTTTTTTTTAATCATGTTTCTCGGCTGTGCTGAACTTGAATATCAACTGAAAGGGGATTGGTCCCAATTTCAACGTTTACAAGAGTTATAAAAAATCTGACTTTTTATAGGATTTTTTTTTTTATTAACAGGTACTTTAGTGAAGTGTTATTGACAGGGCCCTAGACTTACGTGTACACTGATAACGATTTACATATTTTATTCCGAATACAAACCCTAGAAAAGCCGGATAAATTCGCTAGTAAGTCATAAAATTAATTATAGTTCTTCTTCTTGACCGAGCAGTGTCTGCTCTGTAAATTTTGTGTCTAGTGCACCAGGCCTTCCAACCCTCAGTTCATGATACCCTTTTTGAGTGGCCCTTGCATTTAGTTGAAACCAGAAAAATATCCTCTTCAATACCAGACAAACATTGCAAATCCCTCTACATACATAGGGGCCAGAATGATCAATACATTGATCGTGGACCCTTAATATATAGAAGTAGAATAATTATGGTGTCACCCCCTGAAATGGTATCACCCGGTGCGGTCCGCGCCCCCACACCCCTCTAGCTACACCATTGTCCCGGAGCATAAGACAAGCAATAGTGATGGGCTGTGCTATAAGCTGGCTTGGCGAGAACTAGAAAGACGCCCGTTATCTGGCAAAGACAGTCTATTAGAAACAGAATCTGTCAAGTGGTAATGCATTATGAAACAGAATCTGTCAAGTGGTACAACATTATGAAACGAACCATTGATGTTGTACTATCCAACGGTGGCCTAACCGCGGCTCGCGAGCCGCATGCGGCTCTTCTGTGTTCACATTGCGGCTAGTGAAAAATTTATGAAATTAAAACTTTTCGTTTGAAATATATAATATAAAGAATAAATGAAAGTTTTTTTTTTTAAAGTCTTGACTGAAACAAAGGTTTGAAAATAATTTGGGATTGATTTAAATTTTAAAAGTTGAAGGGAGCGATTGGTTTCTGATTGGTTGGTGATGTGAACTGTTAAATTTCTACTGCTGTGAATTTTTGTACTCCACAATGAAGTTCATAACATCAAAGCATCGAGCAGTAACTAGTAACCAGCATCTGACAGAACTTCTTCGCAGCACAACTAGTAGCTACCAACCAGATTTAAAGAAACTTAATAGTTCAAAGGCTTCTCAGCAGAATCATAACAATTAATGTTTACTATAATTATGAGTAGATATCCAATGTGTTTATATTCATAAATTTTACATATTTAAATATTTGTTAATTGTGTAACTGTAACGCATATATTTCTTCGATTGTGTAACTGTAACGCATATATTTCTTTAATTGTGTAACTGTAACGCATATATTTCTTAATTGTGTAACTGTAACGCATATATTTCTTCAATTGTATAACTGTAACGCATATATTTATTCAACATACGGTTAGGGTTAAAACAATTGAAATGTTTAAATCATTAAATTCGAATAAAAATTAATTTTTAATAATAAATCACAAAAGGAATTTTTCAGTGCGAGTGGGGTCGTGACCCATAGTGCTTCAATGCAGCTCTCAACAACTTTTTTTTAAATTTTAAAAATGGCTCTCAGTTACTACAGGTCTGGCCACCCCTGTACCATTCCTTGGTGAGCGGCGGCTTGCTCTGTGTGGTAGTTCCCTGCGCATTGGTGAAAAAGACAATTCGAATTTTCTGGGAGTCATATAGTCACAGAGTTGTTATCTCATCGGGATCCCATTCTAAAAGTACATGCATTGCAAGTTCAAGAGACACAAGAAAAGAGAAAACGATTTCAAGTACATCATCTTAGTGCCGACTCTTAAAACCGCTTCGTTGCTGAATGTTCCTCACATGTAAGGCAACACATGTTTGGGGGACAGGAAAACTACAACATACTTTGCTTTTGTTTTTAATACCACGCCACATTTTCCCGGGCTAAACAAAATGCAATTATTTTGCGTTATGTTTTACCAAATGAATACCAGTATGAAATTATAGAAAGATGTTTACAGTTAGTTGACATAAGCCTTAAAACAGGATATGACATAGCTCAGGTGATAGTAGAAACATTGAGATTACACGCTACTCCACTGTCAGATTTTAGTAATAATAATAACAATAAAGCTTATTTCAAAAACAAGCTTCACCCCCAGAGGCTCGAAGCGCGGTACAAAGTCAACAAAAAAAATATTATAATTTACCACATTTAAAACAAACGCAACACTACAAAAACTAATTACAAGCATACCAAGTCAAAGTCTTTCTGACCATTTCAACCCTAAGCAAAACAGCCAATATGCATTAACAGGAAAATATGGTAGACAATCATCGCAGAAGGTGTTTGCGAAATAGATGTGTCTTTAAATCGGTTTTAAAGGACTCCAGTGTCTGGTTGTTTCTGAGAACAACAGGAAGGGCGTTCCAAATTGTTGGACCAGCAAATGCGAAAGTGCGCTTTCCGTAAGTCTCAAGGCGAACACGTGGCGTCGAGAGTTTGCCACTATCGGATGAGCGGAGTCGTCTAGTGGGTACATAAGGCGTCAGCAGCTCTTTCAGATAGGACACAGGGATATGAACATGCGTCCAACATGACCAGAAAATATAATAAAGGAGTATTTGCAAGAATACTTGAGCAATGTGAAACATCTTAGTTTCACCATGTGGATGTTACACACTTTGATTAATATGTGTGGATATGATGCCGCAGAATGCATTCAATGAATTCCTGAAGTTGTTGACAACTTGTCCACAGTGATGGGAAATCTTGTAAAAGTGAATTGTTTGCTCTTTTCATGGTATGTCTAATACACGGTGATCACACCGAGCTGGAGTTTAAAGGCCTCTCTAGCCCACCTGTCATGCATCAAATTAGCACTAGAAAACCTCTTGGAGTTGAATCTCACTCCCAAAACAAGAACTGAGATAAATGGAGCTTTGTCTGTCACATCCTGCAGTAGTGTGATATTCTCTGCTGTAAGGTACAGCGTATTAGTCCCAGTTGATAACAAGGTTATTCAGTCAAGAAATACAACGCTGGATGTCTAAGTGTCCAACGCTTAATTTCAGAACTGACAAATCTTCGGAACAGCTGGAAAAGTATGTGGAGGGAAGATAAGCAAGTTGCTTCTAAATTGTGGATAAAACTGAAACTTTTTGGATTTCGGGGTGAAACAAAAGGCAAAAGAAATAGGATCAATGATGAAGATAGTGTAGAGAATCAAAAATGTCAAAACAATATGAAATGGATGAATCTCCTAAGGAAGCAGATTTCAGAAAGTCTTCTATGTAATATTGGATGGAGTGGGCTCACTGTTCATTTCAATGATGCAGTGAACATTTCTGAGAACGTCAGATTCATCTGGAAATACCTATCAACTCCTCAAGATCAATATCCCCCTGATATCAGTCAAGATCTTGTAAGGGAAATGC